TGTTTTTCAACTTATTTATTCATTCATGGGTTGATTCACTGGTATGCCCTGACCAGGGGATTGAACCCACAACCTTAGCATTTAGGAATAATGCTGTAACCAAATGAGCTACCTGGCTGGGCCATTCATTAATTTTTTCATATGATTTTACTTATGTGTAGAATCTAATGAACAAAATTAACTAACAAAACAGAAACAGACTCATAGATACAGAGAACAGACTGACAGCTGTCAGAGGGGAGGGGGAAGGAGGCTTTGTGAAAAAAGTGAAGGGATTAAGGGGAGAAAAGCCCTCACAGACAGACCACAGTATGGTGATTACCAGAGGGAAGGGGGGAGGGGAAGTAGAAGGGGGGGATAAATGGTGATAGAAGACTCGACTTGGGGTGGTGAACACACAATACAATATATAGGCGATGTATTCTAGAGTTGTACACCTGAAACCTATATAATTTTATTAACCATTGTCACCCCAATAAATTCAATAAAAATTTTAAATTGACATTTCTGTTCTTTTGACCTACAAAAATGACCATTTAATACTGTTTTAAGTAACATGTGTGTCTGGACTACATCCCCCAAGGTTTTGGTTCAACACACCTACAGCATACTTTTTTAGAAGCTCCATGGGAGATTCTGCATCTATCTGAGAATTGCCAATCCTGTTCATCTCTCACCTCCCTTCCTCTAAAGTCCTGTTTGTTTTCTAATTTACTGTTCACACTAACTGCCGCTAGGTGGGGGTAATGTGCCACAGTCACACCAAGGATAAACTACCTTGAAATTCATCATGGTGGCTCTCTGCTCAAGCCCAACCTGTTTATAATGGCACATTTCCATCTATTTTGGCATCTGTAAAAAGTGAACTTTTAAGAAAGGTCTTTTAGAAATATAAAACTCCAAAATTAATATGCTTAATATCCTTCCAAACTAACTCACAACATCAGCTCTTTCTCTGTCCTTTCTACATAGCCCACCAGTTCTATCCCAAACTCCATGCACTGGCCTCAGACTCTCGACCTCTAGCCCTGAGGTCTGAGCTCACTCCTTTCTCAGTGAAACCCTGCCCAGGACTGCTCCCCAGTCAGGCAAGGTCCTGCTTCTGTTTTTACGAGCATACAACTGCATTTAGGTAGGAAGCTACCTACCATACTTTCTACTCTTCTTCCTCTTCCTTCTCACTCTTCTGATCTTTCTGCCTCTTCTGTGTTCATTCGCTTTAAATATTTTATTAGTTTAACTTCCTGAATCCTTAAACCTCTGAGAAACCCCAAAGCATGCTGAAAAGGAGAGTTGAGGAGGTGGAGAGGGAGACCAAGCCCTCATGCTGTCTGATGAGCAAAGTTCAGTAGTTGTCTGTGTCACAGGGGTTAACGCTCTCTCTCCCTTCAGGGCTCTCACTTTAAAACCCCACTTGACCCCATCTGTCTAGTATTTGATAGCTCTCCTTGTGACCATGACTGTTGACTTAGTCCGAAAGAAAAGACCTCTTCTCTGGTCTTTAGCTCTGCTATTCCAGGCCCTAGCTCAGCTGACTCAGTGAAGAATAAATGGTGCTGTGGGGAGCAAGGTGTCTATTTGCTCGCTTGCTGCTCCCAAACCTTTCATCGTCATCATCATCATTATCATTATCATCCGGCCCCCTTAGAGTTCCATTATAGCAAAGCAAACTGGTGATTATATATGGCTTCTCTGCTAACATTCTGTAATAATAAAGTTATTAGCGGTGGTCTATATTAACTTGAGTTTAATATGTGGGAACTAAAAAGTAGCATCCTTTTTGCTAACAACTCCATCAGTATTCAAGAGCTGATCTAGGTCTAGATTTCAGATACGTGAAGGATGTGGAGAAACTGGAGGTGACCCTGAGGAGAAGCACTAACAGTGGGAAAGAACCTGGAAAGAAAGGTGGCAGAGGCTCTGCCTGGGTCGTACAGACTAAACGCTGCTTTGCTAGCCTGGCAGCCGCCACCCATGACAGTTTCCGTTTAAAGGGAAAAAAGAAATCACTCAGAACTCTCTATATTCGATGATCATAAAACCAAATGAAACGCACTCATTGTGTAGTGAGTAAAATTCAGCCTCAACTGAAAGGAAAAGCAAATCATTCCAGACCCTAGATGTTTGCAGTGATAGAGTCAGACACCAAGGGGCTGAATGGCAGTACGATCCCAGGAAAAAATGGAATCCCTTTTAGCTTAGACCAAGATCGTGTGTCTCAGACTTAACTGACTGTTCAGACAGCTGGCCTCTTGGTGCCTCTTTCTAAGGATTATCTGCCTCTGTAACCATTTATATTTTCTTGAATTCTCACCATCAAGCCTCAAAGAAAGCCTTCCTTCTTCTCACTTCCTCTTCACAGAAGAAAAAAAATAACCCCACAGTTTAGATATTTTGAGAAAAGAGAAATTGCTTCACAGAAGAAGCCAGACTTGATATAAGGGAGATTGAAAGTACAATAGAAAGACTGTCTGAGACCTTGGGCACCAAGCCTTGCCCACATTGTTGAGGTTAGTGAGCAGTGTGGCAGAGAGTTGGGGGTGGGGGGTGAGGTGTCTGTACCCTGCTCTCTCCCAGGTTGGCTTCCAAAAGGGAGGAACTGGGAACTGAGGTCACATCATCATATCCGTCGACTAAATCACAGCGTCCCTCAGCTGTCACAAAAGAAAGCAGATGTACTAGACTCTCTTTCCCAATGTTTCACGTGCCTTCCCACCTGCGTATTGTACAATGGGAAAAATCAGAAAGCCCAGAGAAACAGAAAGAAAATTAGAGTCACCCATGACCCGCCCAACTAGTGCCAACAATTTTTATCTGCGGGCATAAATTTCCAGTTTCTTCTATGTTAAATATATGGATTTTTTTCAAAAATTGGATTATATTCTGTTTAGTTCTTAATTTTTTTAATTCAGCAATATATTTTTGTTACCTTTCTATGTCAATTGTACTTCTGAAATTCCATTTTTAATGGTTGCCGAATATGTGGATATCCAATATGATTCTCCCAACTCACAGATGTTGGATATTTAGCTTCTTTCTAAATTGTTTTATATAACAGATCCTTGTAGGTAAATCTTTGTATCATTCTTAATATTCCTTTAAAATACATTGCCTAAAAGAGTAATTTCTGGTTCAAAGGATAGGTAGTTTTTAAGGATTTTGATACAACTGCCAAGTTGGCCCCCAGAAAAATCTTTAGGTGAGCAAGTATACCCTTATCAATTTGCCCACCACTCTGCCAGCTCCTCAGGATTTTAGGTACCCCCTCTCCACTGGTGTGCCATTGGTTGCTGTCATCTGTCTTAATCTTTAAAGACTGAAAGATAATAACACTCTTTTGTACACTTTGTGGCAATGCTTCATAGAAATAACTCTGGTTACCTTTGCTCTCTTCAAAGTACTGCAGAACCACTGAGTGATAACTCATCAATAAAAAGATAACAAAAAAACGGTCCATATGTTTGGATACTAAGAAATGTGTTTCTAACTAACATATGAGTTAAAGAAGAACTCTATTGAAAATTGGAGCATGTTTTCAGTTGAATGATAATGAAAGTACTACATAGCAAAATTTGTGGGTTGCTACTAAAGCATAACTAAAAGGAAAACTTGCAGCTTTAAGAATAAACACTGAAGCCCTGGATGGTGTGGCTTAGTTGATTGGAGCATCGTCCTGTAAACCAAATGGCACAGGTTCAGTTCCTGGTCAGGGCACATACCCAGGTTGCAGGTTCAATCCCCAGTGGAACACGTACAAGAAGGCAACCAGTCAGTGTTTCTCTCTCACATTGATGTTTCTCTCTCTCTCTCTCTTTCTTTCTCTCCCTCTTTCTCTAAAGGCAATAAAAATAAAAATAAAACAAGTCCTCTGGTAAGAATTTTTTTAATTTTTTAAAGGAAGAAATAATAAATGCTGAAAATTAATGAGCTAGTAAGGATCCAACTCAAGAAGTTCACAAAAATGAATGAATGAAGAATGAAATCCTTGCAGTCAACAGTTCCCTTTGCCTCTTTGGTATAGATATACACATATATGTATATTTATTACCTATGCATCTTTGTACACCCTCTCATCTCCAAAACAGTGCTTAACAGATAAGTGTAACTTGATGAAGATCAAATTGGATTTGTTAAGTCATGAGGGTCAGGCCCTGACCGGTGTGGCTCAGTTGGTAGTGCCTCGTCCTCCAAAGTGAAAGGTCACCAGTTCGATTCCCAGTCAGACCATGTGCCTCAGTGGCCAGTTCAGTCTCTGGTCAGGCATGTACAAGAGGAAGGCGATCGATGTTTCTCTCTCACATCGATGTTTCTCTCCCTCTCCTTTTCCTTTCCTTCCCCTCTCTAAATACAACCTTTAAAAAAGAAATTGTAAAGGTCATGACACTAAACACATGGTATTTTCAAGTTGTTAGGGTTGAATATTCCCAATTTGATTGGTCTGCCAAAGCAATCTGCCCAAGTGTCATTTAACTTTTGGGGGCAGCAGATTCTGACGTGGGGAAGGCAAGACGCTGAAAGGATGATGCACTTAGTGGGTCAGCAGCGATGACCACAGTGTACAAGGATCGCCACCTCTCTGGGGCATGGTGAGGAGGAATTTCCTCATCTCCGGACACTCAGAGAAATGGGTTGTATTTATTCTACTAAAAATATTTTGGAAATAAAGGTTAAATATATGTGCCTTTGCACTCTTCCATCGACACATTGCTTTTGATCATCAGAAGCCCAGAACAGGGCCTGACCCTGTGCCTTTTCCATAGGCCACCGTGTGTTGCAGTTCAAGTTCTGCATGTGTACAGGACAGAGGACTGGGCTCTGGGGATCAGTTGTACTCAGGAAGAAGAAGTGCCTTTAATTTCATTAATGGTCTCCTTGATGATTCTACTACAAGTTTAATCCTCATTAAACATTAATGCCACTCAGTTCTTAGTATGCTGTCTTCAGCATCATACAATTCAAACTGACACTAACCTGTTTTATGTCTTATCACTGAATCGCAGGGCTTTTTCAGGAGAAGTCAGCAAAGCAATGCCACCTACTCCTGTCCTCGTCAGAAGAACTGTTTGATTGATCGAACCAGTAGAAATCGCTGCCAACACTGTCGATTACAGAAATGCCTCGCTGTGGGGATGTCTCGAGACGGTGAGCACTCACAGCTGGAGCTGTACGGTGCAGGGGGTTATCAAAGCTTCCTGAAACCTGGACCCACAGCTGCCAAAATAGGTCCTCCCTCCCCTGCCGGCTTCGGGGGTTTTGGAGCAGTTGCTTCCCCTTCCACTCTCCGTGGGAGTCAGCTGCCTGGCTGGTGAGGGGCGCGTGGAAGAGAAGTATCTGTGTGGTCAGAACACCTTCAGATTTTTGATGTTTACCACATTACGGGTGGATCAGTTAAGTGGAGGTTAGTGTCCTCTGAGGGCCTTAATAAATGTACCTCCTATGGGCATTTTCCCCAGAAGGAAACACAAGCGAGAGCTAATTGTTACATACTTTACACTAGTGAGCTTAGTGGCAATTAGGTTCAATTAGCTTTTATGCTAAATGGATATTTTGAATCATGATGCCAAAGTCAAATATTTGTATACCAAGAATATATGAAAATAGTGCAAAATGTGGCTCTATGGCAAATGTTCTTTTTGTTAAAAGAAGCTGTTTTAAGAAATAAAGACTATCTACCATTCAAGTGCAGGACATTTCCAGATCTTCCTGGAAAACCAGCCGAAGTACACTGAACAATCAACACCAGATTTCAAGACAGTTCTTCTTACATAAGGAAACTGTATAGAAAGTACAGCGGGTACATTTTAAAGACTTTTCCAAATATACTTAAGAGAGCTGGCTCTCTTAAGAGATCCCTTTCAAGGAAACATCTCTTCCTGTAGAGTTTCAGCCTGTGGAAAAATACTTGAGGATGCTGGGCTGGCAATTCTCAAGGCCAGATGTTGTTCTTGGGGCCTGGGGACTTGCCCAGACATAAGTTGCAGTGACCTTCACTAGTGGGGCACAGGGTGGCCTCTTGTAGAACATGTAGAAACAAAAGTGAAGTTTTTGCCATTGACACATGCAAGTCACAGAACTCACACCATATTCTCAGAAATCTCCGTGATGTGCAGCTCCACAGACTCCACCTGCCAGGGGCACTGCACCCACCAAGATGGGTTCATCTCTTACAAACTGAAAAGTTAAAATCACAAGTCATGTCTGCATTTTCCCAGTAGCTGATCTTTTCATTTCCCTTACAGGATGGTGTGATTACTCTTGTTAATGTTCATGCAAACGTTCAAGGCAGTTCAGAGTCACAGCAGAACAGGTTTCACCTCTGAATATTAATCCCCTTGACTGTTCTAGAACATAGACTCTGTCACTAAAAAATAAAGCGCTTTTGTATGTCTCCTGAAGGTTTTGCAGAGAAATGACAGCACACATTGTTGAGGGCTCAGAGTGAATTTGGGGGCTTATAAAAACATGGCCTGAAATTCAGAGCCATGTCAGCCTAAATGCCGTCTAACTAGCCCCACCCAAGTGTGTTCCTTCCTTCCTGGAACCTGAAAACTGCCAATCTCAAGCTCACTTGTTTCCTCTCTGCCAAAGGACAGTAGGTCCTCCTTGTCAGAAAAAGCATCCACCAGCTGGTAGCCTGGGTTCCCGAAGTCATGCCCATCTATGCTGCCTCCTTCCATCATCACAAAGTTATGATGATGGTCAGAGGGGTGAATTCATCCTCCCCATCAGGTATTAAGTTGACCACAATCAACCAAAGCATCTTAGTCCCTCCAGCAGAGGCTTCATCTGCGTAGACAGGGTCAGGCTGAAAAATAAATGGGTTCATGGGAGAGTTCAGACCAGGAAATCATAAGAGTTTTTTTTTTCCTCGAGTATATGGGTGTTTCAGCAGAAATCATATGGGATTCTTAATGAACTGGGAAGTTACCACAGCCATTGTTCCACTTTTAATACCAGATATTGCCAGGAGAAATGTTGCAAACACAAAATCATCCAATAGAGAGGGATCTTAGACAGTGTTCACCCTTTCCAGGATTCTGACACTCTTGTTACTTGAGGCAAACAAAGAAGAGTAGAAAATGTCACTTAAAGATGGGCCTAAGCACTTTACAGGGGCCACCATGACCCAGCATAGGGGAGGGGGCTTCTCGGGTAGACTCAGAGATGTAATTCAGGGAACTGCAAAGGCCTCATCCAGTCTGTTTAGGTCTCTCAACGAAGCCCCAGCTTCCACTGTTTGGGAAGAAACTCATTTGAGCGTACGGGATAGAGGAAGGGATGAAAATTGAGGTTTGACTCCTGGCCCTTGGATGTATCTCTGTGAGTCTGTGTACTGGGAAGGGAAAGAGAGGGTCCAGCCGGGTCGCATGGGTGGACAGTGAACACCCTCATCCAGTCACATTCCAGTGGCCCCCACTGAGCAAGGGGTCACAGCAGGAAACCACAGGTGGCCGATTCCCCGGGTCTCCTCTGCCCATGCTCAGTTCCTCTGGGATGTGTCTTTGCTGTTGTGGGCCTGGGGTGGAACTGCGTTCGCCCCTGGATCATATCCTTCTTTTGTGGTGATGTGGTTTTTGGACGAGATTGTCTGAGACTTCAAAGGAACCCCGAAAGCATGCCAGAGAGGATAATGAAGAAAAGCATATTATATATGGTGTGGTTTGGTGTTTTTCTTCCAGCTGTAAAATTTGGCCGAATGTCGAAAAAGCAGAGAGACAGCTTGTACGCGGAAGTGCAGAAACACCGGATGCAGCAGCAGCAGCGAGACCACCAGCAGCAGCCTGGAGAGGCTGAGCCGCTGACTCCAACCTACAACATCTCGGCCAACGGGCTGACGGAACTGCACGATGACCTCAGCAACTACATCGACGGGCACACCCCCGAGGGGAGCAAGGCAGACTCTGCCGTCAGCAGCTTCTACCTGGACATACAGCCTTCCCCGGACCAGTCAGGTCTCGATATCAATGGAATCAAACCAGAACCAATATGTGACTACACACCAGCATCGGGCTTCTTTCCCTACTGTTCTTTCACCAATGGAGAGACGTCCCCAACTGTGTCCATGGCAGAACTAGGTAATGGCTTCCAGGGTTCTATGGGGATGTGCTGCTTATGCACTTTGAAGTAAATGGGATGTGTTTGACTTTCCTCTAATGACTTATATTGTTAAAATGATGCAGCTAGAAGGGAAACTCACCTTTGCCATTTGGACCACTTTGGAGTACCACCCTCCCTGCCGCCTTGCTTTTGGCTGTCCACTGTTTCCAGTGGACATGCAGGGAAAACACTGCCATGTCGCCATCCGAGATGGGTCAACATGAATTAAAGCAGTCTTAAAACTCCACAGAAAACTGTTATGCTCAGACAACTGTCATGCTCAGAACAACTAGATTAGTTGTTCACTTACTTATATTCCAGGTATTGCTTTTTGACCAGTGCTGAGTTTTAAAATTTTGAATATGTTGCCAAAACTTAAAACCTGGGCAATCTCACACCAAAAAAGTCAAGTTGTCAGCTTCTTGTGGGAGGGAGAAAATGATCTAGATGTAGGGGACCAGCAGGAACCAGCTGGCCCCAGTTAGGTGCTAACACCTCAGACTTTGGAGCACGCCCCCTCCCGAACTGTCCCCATGTGTGTGACTGCCCAGCCCCTGCAGGCATGTAAGTTTCGCAAGCCTGATGTGTCCTATAAGTATGGAAGGGAAACTGGCGTCTTTATTTGCCAGAATGTTTTGGTGATGGATATTGGTAACAAAACTGATATATTTCATAGAAGACTTACCATATCAAAAAAAACTGAAAAAAACAAAACCTTGTCATTTTCTTATTCCTGTGACATCATTTTTGCTTCTTCAGGGATGTGACCTAGAAATGTTGATAACACAGACAATGAAAAACTCCCCACTTCAAGGAAGTTGCGTTAACATCCTCTGTTACATTTAATTGATTTTTAAGTGCAGCACTATTGTTAGAGAAACTTTGATAATAACCTTTGCAGTTTCAGAATTTGATCTGTTCCTCCCTATGACCCCTTGCACAAGGTTATAATACTCTGGGATATTTCAATTAGTTGCTGTGGAGATAACTAAGTTAATTTGGGGAGAGAATGAAGACTTCAGATGGAAAAGAACCAGCAGGTTTTGACTTGAGCACAGAAATCCTCAGTTCACAGGAAAAAAAAAATGGTTGTGTTCTTTAGATGGTTTCTCCACCTCTGTACCCCATAAAACATTTTTAAGTGAAATTTATATTTCCAGTAAAATCTTTCTCCAAATAGAACAAATTGAATGTTCTTTACGGTTTTTACACAAGCACCTCTTTATGGTGTCTAAATTTAAATCCTCAAGAGCAGGGACATTTTAAGCCTGGACTTTAACCACTGAACAGCATTAAAGGTGTATCACAGCTCTTTTGATTAACAGAAAAACCTCTGAACTAGACGCCAAGCTGAGCAGAGGTAGGTTTGATTTTATTTTTCTTGAACTAGAACAAAAACCTTCCATTTTTGTCATGGAATCTTGGTTGGCTGAGCCTTAAGCAGAACTATAATGAAAGTAAAATTTTCAGAAATGAATAAGGACTTGATTGAAAGTTGACACGATATCATGAAAAAAGACCAGGTTCTCTTTGCCTTAGGTCTGCTTCCACCTAAATACCAGTGAATCTATTCTGTTTGCTTGTCAGATGTCCAACCCTGAAATAAATCCACAAGGCTTAGCCAAAGTGTCACCCTTGAATGTGGCAGGTCAAATACTTGTGTAGCGACACCTGAGTGGGGCCAGAAGTGGCCACGCTGACTCCCCCAGCTGCCTCTTCCCCACCGGTCAGTTTCCTCTCCGCGCTGGTCGCCTGCGAGTGCGGTCTAGGAGCCCTGTGCCTCCCTGCTTTCTCCATGGTCTCCTAAACTAGGGAGTTTTCACACGTGTTCTAGCATTTTCCAGGATGGTTAAAATTAACTTGACAGTAGAATTAGTCCCAAACCCAAAACTTAAACAGGAATTTATTTGAAAAGGATGTAACTGGGCTTTAATTTTCTGTCATATTTACATTGGCAAAATAGTTTGAAGAGTGAAGAGTAGCCTAAAGGTGACCAAAGACTTTACTGTTTCTTCCCCAAAGCTGTGTGTCATTTGGGGCTTAAGTCTGCTACCTCTTTAAGGCTCTTGACTTTATTTTAGGCTAAATTTTGTCATTAGATCTTAAACAAATGAAAACAGCTATTCAATGGAAAAATAAATTGCAGATTAACACATCAGAAGCCCACTTCTATCATTCAAGAATAGTACCCACAGTTCATCACTTTTAGTAGGACCGTCTGCATTCGTGTCTGGGAAATGTGGTCCTTGATGTACAATTAACACCTGAATTGTACATTCCAGATAAGCCATCTGGGTTCATTTAAGAAAAACTAACTGCACCTGTTATGTAATCAGTAATTCAATTCTGTGCAGAGAGACAATGACATAATGGGCAAAGCATGAGACAAAAAGTCAACTGCCACGGGTTGTGGTCCTGGCTTCGCTATAGGTGATACAACCCAGTATAAGTCATGTAACCTCTGCAAGCTACAGTTTCCCTACCTACTGAGTATAAAGATTAGGAGCACAGACTCTGGAGCCAAATAGTGTATATTTAAATAATTGGCCACTTGCCAGCTGTGACACCTTGGAAAAGTCACTTAACCACTGTAAAAAGGAGATAGTATAATACCTTCCTCCAAGGGTTGTTACAAAGGTTAAGTAAGAAAAGAAAAATATATATATATATATATTCTGGATATATATTATATGAATCTGGCACACAGTAAGTGCTATTAAATGTTAACTACTATCATCACTATTAATGTTGTTATTAACTATAAACTGAAGAGAGTTTGGACCAGACGACGTCTAAAGTTCCTTCCTATTGTGAAAATTGATGAAGCAGTGGTGGGTGAGAAGTGAACTGATTTGCCCGTCCCGAAGGGTCATCTATCCACTGAACTCTGACCGGAAACCAGGTCTCCTAACGCCTGGTTCCGAGGTATTTCACTATTCCAGGCTGCTTCTCTGAGAGACCACGCTAACTTCTTCACTTTTACTCAGTCTGGCCATATTCTTCTTTGCTGAAATGGAGATTTAAAAACAGCCAAGTGTCTAAGGTCTTACACTTGCCAAATCAACCTGTGAATTGGGAGTCAAAGGCAGTTGAGTAGTTGGCAAGAATGCAGCCACTGCCCTCTACTGGTTAGTCATGTACATTGTGTCGTTCATTGCCACTTCTAAAAGCTGGATGCAAACAGGGAGGGAGGGGTGAATGCGAACAATTTTTAGGATGAAGTGAAATGATGATATGTGGACCATATTAACCGGAAAAGAAGCACAATCTGGCAGAGAATGCTCCATCCTCTTCCCTCCCTCACCCCATAGGATCCCCCTGTTTCTCTGTGAACACTTTGTCGTTTTTTTCATGTCTGCAAAACTTGGTTTACATTCTAGAATCTGTCTTCTGTAGAGAGACCTCTTCCTGCAGAAGATAGTTCACTAATTTATTTACACACTTACACACTTATTTTTTGTTTCTGGCTTCCCATTGTTTTTGGCTTGATTCTCCTCTTCACAAGTTCCATTTATTCTGAGACACAATTTACTGGCTTCTCCCTCTTTCTCTCAGCCTCTCTGTTTCTTTCTGTTAAATCTTTTCTTTTGTTCTTGTTTCATTTTTATGTATTGACATACATTGTTTTGTATCTGTGTGTTGTGAACAGGGCCATTAAGATTTATTGTTTTAGTGTCTCTAAAGAGATCCTAGTTTCAAGCTTCCTTTAGGTGAACCTACTCTGTTCCCACACGAACGAGTCTGGTTCTGTTGGACGGAAGCAGCAACAAATTCCCAAACAAACAGTCTTGCTACTGCTGCCAAGTTTGCATTTAGCACCAAGCTTTAAATGGCTTTCTTGCTAAACATTCAAGACCCCAAGATGGGGATTCCTGTTTGCTGTGGTTTTATATTCACAAAATCTTATCATTTTTTTCTTTTAAAACTTTCCATTAACCTTCCCTCCCATGATGGTGATTACTGGCCAGCTTCCAGCTCTCAGTCCCTCCCCTCTAGCTCCAGCAGACTTCCTATGGGTCCTCTGACCCCCAGCCCTTGTCCTCCAACCATCCAATCACAAAACTGCCTGTTCTGTTTCCCCAGATACAATGTTCAGTACCTCGGCTCCTCCTTGAGAATCTTGTTGACTCCTTGTGTTTCATCAGCTCCAAACTCTCAATCCTAATATTCAAGATCCTTCAAGATTTGGACTCTTACCTACTCATATTTCTATTTTGACTCTATCACTTTATCACATCTGCCTGTCTCCTATAAATGCTATGTTGGTTCCGTCATCTGCCATCCCCTGAATGTGGAACAGGCCTACCCCTTACACCCCTGGCCTCCACCTACCAAATCCTACCCGTCCTCAGGGGCCAACTCAAATGTCCCTCTTCTGCCAAGAAGTACCCACTAACTTCCCCAAGCTAACATTGATCTCCCCCCTTCCCTGACAGCACCTATTAATCAGTTTTCCTTTCTCTTCTAATATAATTCAACATTATACTTTATTGTCTAATGCTTTGAATTGTTCTTTCAGCATGTCCATAAAAGCTCGCCAGATTATAAATACCTATAGAAATTTTTTGGCATCTATTTCTTATAATCAAACTCCCTATACCATATAATAAGAACTAATGTTAGGTGGCACACACTTTGTAACCCTCCTTAAGTTCTCAACTCATTTAATTCTCACAGAAGCTCTATGAAATAGATCCTATCTCCTTCATTCTACAAATGAGGAAACCCAAGCACGGAGAGGCTAAGTAACTTACTCAAGATCACACAGCTAGTAAGTAGCAAAGCTGAGGCTCAAACTCAGGCATTCTGACTCCAGAGTCTTTCTTAACCACTATACCATGTATAGTGACATAGCAGGCACTCAAAAATGCTTGTTCTGCCATTTGCAGGAAACACTAAAGAAATACATTCCTGTGGTCACTTTCTAATTTTTCAGAATAATCCTTTGCAGGTGAATGGATACGGCAGATGCATCTTTATAAAATTGCCAAGAAAAGGTTCTGCCCATCATCTCCTACACCTATCTAGGTCAATATTTTTTTATTCCCAGACATTGGTGGAAAGTCATAAAAGAAGGTCAGGAGTTCTTTGAAGTCTCCAAGACTTATTTTAAGTCTTGGCTTTGCCTGTCCTTCATCCCCGTGTTCCAAAATACAGAATAGTTTCAAATCGCTTATTTAAATGTATAAAGATAATTAAAATTGGACCAGCGTGATGCTCTTTATTTGTTACTTCTTTACAGCAAATATTATGTAGGAGAAAACACTGATTGCCTGAAGAAGAACTTGACTTTTCATGTTGCAATCTCCTGTTTTCTCCTTAGAACACCTCGCACAGAATATTTCTAAATCACACCTGGAAACTTGCCAGTACTTGAGAGAAGAGCTCCAACAGATAACGTGGCAGACTTTTCTGCAGGAGGAGATTGAGAACTATCAGAACAAGGTATACTCTGAAGAATTTTATCAAGGGTGGAGGGGACAGTGGGAAGGGTGTTCATGCAGGTGATTTGATCGAGACTACCAAGAGACCAAAGAACGAATGCCTTTCATCGGCCATCAAGTTTCTGTTTAAAATTCTTCCTTCCAGAACTCACCAAGTACTTGAGACATTGTCGTACAGAGATGCCAGTGTGTGAAATTTCAGCAATAGCCAACAAATGCTGCTGTGCCTGTAACTATACACACATCTCCTATCATCTGTCAATAGGGTGCTAAACGAAGCAGTTTCCATAAGCCTCAATTAGTTGGGATTTGTCCCAATATCATAATGGCAGATTTAAAGGTCAGGAAGTTCGTGTAAAATAGTAATCTTAGCCTCGTGTTTCTAGAGGTTTAGAAAAAGGAGTTTAGGGAGTGTGTACAGAAAGGTTTGGAATCTATTGTTGTAACTCAAGTCTGCACCGAGCAGTGTGAGGCTGACAGGTGTTGCTACTTGACTCTTTTCTGTAGAACTCTGATCAACAAGCCATGTGAGGCTGACAGGTGTTGCTACTTGACTCTTTTCTGTAGAACTCTGATCAACAAGCCACCAAAATGGGAGGGTGGGGCTGGAAAAGGGAAACTTGTAATTATCCACTCTCCCTTTGGGTAAAGAAAATGCTGTTGTTCCCGCGTGATAATTGGAGAAATTCAGGCTCAGGAAGGACCATGGGGTTTATCTAGTTCACTTCACATAGGAGGAAGCCACGTGGGCATGTGGCTGGGAGTGCAGACATCAGCACTAGACCGTGACTCTTGCCCCTAATTCAGTGTTTCTTCCACCGTATCATATTGGTGGCAACAGTCTTCATTTTTTAAGAGTAATTTAAAAATTTTCAAGACTATTGTTTCAAGAGGAATTCTTTCCAGGTCAGTGTATGCGGCAGGTGTGTCTTTATAAAAATGCCAAGAAGAGGCTGCATCCCTTGTTCCCCACACCTGTCTAGGTTAATAATGGTTCATCCCCAGACATTGGGGGAACAGGTGAGCAGCACCACAGATCCAGGTCACCCTGTCACTGAGTTGGAGAGTGGGTGTATAAAAAGAATTTAAACAGGGTGGGGAATAGCAACACACGCTTTGTTTGCCTCCGAGATGTGCCAGCAGCCGGCAATTCAGAGAGCTGCAGCAAAGTGTGTGGGACCGGGGTTCAGAGTCAGAGATGCTAGGGTTTGAGTCCCAGCTCTGGTGCCTGTTCTCTGCGAAACCTCTGTGAGCATTCATGTCCATTCATGTCCATTTGTGGAAAATGGGAAAATGTTCTCGTGAAAATGAAACAAGACAAGGATGTCATAAAGTACCTAGCTCATAGCAGATACACAATAAATGTAACAAATTCCCCTTCTTTCCCCTTCCCCCAGTAAAATGGTGTTAAATTCCTCAAGGCAAAAAATATTGTAATTGCTAAAAAGAAGATCCTGCTTTCTGTTCTCTGTGGCCCAGGGTTAAAGCCGTGGCATGCGATTTGTTCTGCTGCATGCTCCCCCTGACCCTCCGCCTCCAGAGAGGTCAGGGAGAAATTGGAGGACATGAGAAAGGACTTAGAAGCAGTCATTAATTATATCCCAAATAACCGGCCGACTGTTTATTTTGGGATCCTCTAGCTTTCTCTTCAGTCCATCTCCAAGGAAGGATTTTACAAAAGAGGCACAGTTAAACCCACTGAGCCCAGAATTGGGTAGCGGTGCATGTTAATGTGTCTCCCTCTTTCACAGCAGCGGGAGGTGATGTGGCAGTTGTGCGCCATCAAAATCACGGAAGCTATACAGTATGTGGTGGAGTTCGCCAAACGCATTGATGGATTTATGGAACTGTGTCAAAACGATCAAATTGTGCTTCTCAAAGCAGGTATGTGCTTTGCGAGTGAATGTCGAGATCTCTTCCCAACCTGCTCTCACTCACCTATTAAAGAAATGCTTAGTCAGGAAGGTGTCGGGAGCAGTTTTTCTCCGACGACAATCGCCCAGGTTTCTCTTAGCAGAGACCGAGTTCTTTCTAAAGGCATTCGAGCTTTTGCAGGAGACACTCCCTCCATTTTGCTTCTCCCCTCCGTGAAAAGATTAATTTGAAAGACACGTGCATTCCCTGATTTTACCATCACCTGTGTTTCGTTGCCACCCTCCGGGTCCTCAGGAGTTTCCAATAAGCTGTTAGGAAGAAAACGTGGAACCTCAGAGAGACAGCCCTGGCTTTTTTTGTTTGTTTTAATGTATAGGAATAAATATTTGACTAGCAACTCAGAGACTCTGTACTGTAAGACAGGAGAGTGACAGAGAAGTCATGTGTAAATCAATCCTTCCTTCAGTGAAGCAGGCCTTAGCTTCAGCACAGGTGTGGAGTTGCACCAGTGAACTTTGCCCTTTTAGATAGAGAGTAAAGGGGACTGAGAGCCCACTAGCTAAACAGCACCCAGCGCAGGGACTCAGAAGTGGGTTTCTATGTTAGTGCCTTTGAAATAAACTCACCATGATGGAATAATCCACACCATTCTGCCTTCACTCAGGTTCTCTAGAGGTGGTGTTTATCAGGATGTGCCGTGCCTTTGACTCTCAGAATAACACCGTGTACTTTGATGGGAAATACGCTAGCCCCGATGTCTTCAAATCCCTAGGTAAGGAAATCTCTGGGTGTTTCGGCTTTAAATCACAATGACATGAACAGTTGGGAGCTGGGCGAAAGCTTTTACTGAACAAAATGGAAACTGGGTGTCTGGAAACAATTCAAGAATATTATACCTATTTTTTGCTTTATAACTAGATACTACAGAAAAGTTATATACCTCAGATGCCTTTTGTCTATATTACATGTAATAGACATTACATGTATTGTTACACAATTACATTATATTACATGTAAAGGTCTAAAGTTTCATTTTATGTAGTTGGTAATCGAAGAAATTCATATTATATATCCTTCCAGATTTTAAGAACCAGGTGGGTAGGGAATATGTTACTCAGATAAACTAGAGGATTCCATCTGATACATAAACTCAAGCGAAGAGCCAAAGGTCTGCCCTTTCTAACTCCTCAGAGAACAAGCATTAATGAGAATTAAATGTGGGTATCAGAAAGCATTGCTACCTTACAAGTGAAACTGACATATACTCTATAAATTATATGGATTTCTATAGTGTAAATAAAGTGGAGTATAGTCAATAAGAACAATTGGACTGTATCTAATATATGTTATGTGACTTTTAAAATAGTAACATGGCAAGGTATGTATACTTAAGTATAGTATAGCTCATTTCCATTTAAATTACCAGGTGGGGCAAAAACAGATTTATGAAACACAGAGTTTATTCTTGTATTATTATTTATTAATTATTGTATTATGTTCCATACAAACTGTAAAACTACTTTTGCCCCATCCTGTATATAAATAATATACAAATCTGAAAAAGTAGACACCAAACCTAACCAGTCTTTGAGGATGGATTATTATTTTATAGGACTTTCATATTCTGGGTGTTCAGTTCTGTGATAGTTACAGTGATTTTGCACCACTATAAAATGTCATTGGTTAGTATTTCTTAAGGCTGTTTTAGATGACATAGAGCCATACCCCAGAATGAGTGAGTTTAACATTTCACTTAGATTGTGCCACTAAACTCTGCTGGTGAAGAAGAGCGTGAGCCCCAAGTTGGGCAGCCTGACTCTGACACCCAGGACGTTGCTTCCTACTTATGTGACCCTAGGTGCATGGCCTTTTTCTCCAAGTTTGCTCTTCACCTTTAAAGCGGGGCTATTACAAATGCCTCCTTCACAGGGCTGCTGTGAAGTGTAGGGAACCCAAAGAAATCTCCTGGATCAGTTCCTAACATACTGACTACTCAGCAAAAGCTCACTGTCATGATTTTCACTGATGATGATGCAATGACAGGGGTGGGAAGGGCAAGGATGGTGAACTTGGCTAAACAGATTTTCCTTTGAAGATTTCAGACAATTAAACTGTAGAAATGTTATCAGGATCCTCTCTCATCTTCTGTGACTGGATCTCTCTCCACTTTCTTCCATATTTTTTCCTAGGATAATAGCCAAAATCCTAAACAATATTCATTTTAATTTTGGCAGGTTGTGAAGACTTTATTAGCTTTGTATTTGAATTTGGAAAGAGTTTATGTTCTATGCACCTGACTGAAGATGAAATTGCATTATTTTCTGCATTTGTACTGATGTCAGCAGGTAAGCTAACTAAATGAAAATAAAGTGGTTTAAAGATTGTCCAGGTAAAGAATTTTTACCAGGTCCATAACTTTTAGAATATTCGGAGGCTACCAAGACAGGCTGTCCCACTTATTCAATCTATTTTTAATTTCTTCAAATAATAACCTCCCCCCTCACACACGAAAATGCCCTTTTTAAAAGACCTCATGCTGTTCTGCTAAAATCTTAAGAAATGAGAATTAAGTAAAATCCTGTCCTTAAGTCACCTCCAGATACCAAGAGAAATGCTACAGTAGAGTCAGGTTTCCCTTCTTAATACCAGTCTCCAGGATAACGTGGTTTTTAAGAGATCCAACTTTTCCCTGAAATCTCCTTGGATATCATCCACAAGTTTCTCTCAATTTAATCCATGTTTTCAACCAGTCCTGCCTCTTGGAGATCATCAGTTTTGCTAATTTACAATCTTCTACTCAGAATTATTTTCTTTTTTTTAATTTTTTATTTATTGATTTTTAGACAGAGAGAGAGAAACATCACTTTGTTGTTCCCCTTATTTATGCACTCATTGGTTGCTTCTTCTATGTGCCCTGACCAGGGATCAAACCCACAACTTTGGTGTATGGGAGCAACACTCTAACCAACTGAGCTACCCAGCCAGGACCTGCTTGAAATTCTTACACATAAAGACTTTACCCTAAATTACGAACTTTTAAGTCACGTGGAATTCAATTGACAGTTTTAGTTGCCTTGGATTAAAAGGTTATTTTCAAATTTTCCCGAAAGACTAGCAGGATTGATATAAATATTTCATTCAGAAATGTTATTCTTAGAAAGGCCTTTTAAGAGGCCACAGTGATTTCATTGCACTTGTGCATCTATGGCCTTAGATTTAAATGGCTATCCTTCCGGAAGGAGCAGACCCTCCCTTCCTTTAAGTATCAGTAAAAATCGAAAGGTTTACTACCCTTTATAACTGTTTAGATCGGTGTTCTCCTCCTTTAGGAGCAAATGTTGAAAGAAGAGTGGAACTGGCCTGTTAGTTTCTAACTCTGCCTGGTGCTTTAGTAACTCTGGGTCTAAGGTCGGGAGGAGTTGGGGTTTCTAACACCCGTCGGAGGAACATTAAGGAATGTCACCTTCCATGTGCAGATCGCTCATGGCTGCAGGAAAAGGTAAAAATTGAAAAGCTGCAACAGAAGATTCAGCTAGCTCTTCAACACGTCCTACAGAAGAATCACCGAGAAGATGGAATACTAACAAAGGTGAGAGCTAAGGGTTTCCAGCTGGCAGTGGCCTGAATCGCCCCTTGCCACACACCACGCTGCCAGTGCCCTAGTACGTGTCTGAGCAGCCTGCAGTGGTATCAGTAAGCAACAGGCTGCTGAAAGGAAAGAAACAGGTCTGTTTCAAAAGTTCAGTGGGGCCAAAATTCAGGTTAAATTCTATTTATTGTTATTGGTTATAAAGTGCCCTACAACAGGGAAATAGTAGAATTTTTTAAAGCATTAACACATCCTGGAAATCCTTTTTCTATTCCATCAAAGTTGAACACAAAGCAGAGCTAATGGTCTTCATTGATAGAAATTAAACAGTCTTTGAATTTTGAAACAGAAAGTTATGAAGTACTAAACCAATTAACCAAGATAACCATATATTCTAATATTACTTCTATTTCCATTAAATTCATCAGTCATCAACAGTAAATGACTTTTGTATTTTCTTCATCAATTTCCTATTACTCCCCTGTATTCAAAGCATAAGCTTTCATTTTTGCTAATTACTATCTTTTGCAATAAAAAGCATGATTAGGATGTCAATTTAAAACATGCTAATGTTCTTCAGTGCTACAGCCAGGACTATGTATTTGGCCCTAGAAAAAGCAGCCCTTTCTTAGATTATTCGTTGTATTCTATTGTTCAAGGGGGTGATTTGAAGGTTTTTTGGGCTGGGTCTTTTTTTCATTGTTTATTTTCTCGTATTTACTGCTGATAACTAGGGTGGGTCAGGAAGGGGAAGTTGGGGTTTAGTTGTTGCTTTGTTTATGATTTTGCACATGTTGAATGAAAGATTGGGGAAGGAATGGGTGCTAGAAGGAAGAGGAGATCTCAGGAGCTTCCCCTCTTTTCTCTGCCTTCTCACCATAAGACTTGGGTACCATTAGGTTCTTTGATTATAAACTGTACCTAACATATGATCTATGATCTGATTAAAACATTTCTTAGAAATTTTTCTGGGTTGAAATACTAATTATTGTGTACTTGCATAGTGCTTTAGAGCTGAAAAAGCATTTTTGGAAATCATAGTAGTATTTTCAGCCACTGAACGGCCAACACTGGGACTTCCATCCAGGCCTTCTGACTTTCATATTTGCACTCAGGGACCTAGACCCAGAATTGCTTTGTTTTAGGTACAGTCTTTCCCAAGAAGAAACTCATCAGTAGGGTTGAATGTGTATCTGACATTCTGTGGTATATCACCATTTATTTTCACCAGTCCTCTCTTGCTAGACATTTAAGTTGCTTTAAGTGTGTTTCACCATCATAAACCATGTTGTAAAGAGCAGCCAGATCCCTGAATTTTGGTTCTCATGTCTGTTCTCTCCTAACAACATGTCCTTTCTTCCACTCACAGTTAATATGCAAGGTGTCTACATTAAGAGCCTTATGCGGACGACATACAGAAAAGCTAATGGCATTTAAAGCAATATACCCAGACATTGTGCGACTTCATTTTCCTCCACTATACAAGGAGTTGTTCACTTCGGAATTTGAGCCAGCAATGCAAATTGATGGGTAAACGTATCACCTAAGCACTTCTAGAATGTCTGAAGTACAAACCTGAAAAGCAAACAAAAAATATTAACCAAGACACTTTCTATGGCCCTGCACAGACCTGGAGCGCCAACACACTGCACACCTTCTGGTGATCGGGGTCAGGCAAAGGAGGGGAAACAATGAAAACAAATAAAAGTTGAACTTGTTTTTCTCATGCATATGATTTCCATTCTGCCTACAGACATGGACCCTTTTCTGTCTCGACTTCTTGATCGTTGACCTCTGTTTACAACAGAAGGAGGGCACTAAAGTTGGAGGGTTTCCTTTTCTTGTAGCTCACTGTCCACAGACTTTCTACAGAGTCACCAACCTGTTAGTACTAAGAGAGTCCAGCAATAATCGGTGACTGGTGTGCATAGCGGAGGTTGCAGCATTACTTTGCACAACTTTGCTCTTTGTTTCATGAAGGAAGTTTTTATTTTTTTCACCGATTATTGCCAGTCAGCAGGACGGCACGAAAAGGGTCCATAGCACTAGCTACAATAGCATTATAATATATTACAGGGTAAATGGGCATGAAGACTATATATAGCTAAAAGAGATATTGTTTATATATTGTTTTAATTAATATAAAATGTAGTTACTGGTGTAGCTTTTCCTGTTGAATTGATAAGGCACTTTCATTTTGCACCTTTTTCTTTAAATTAAATGCTAGCGTGTTCACTGTCGTGTCGCATGTGCACCAGAAACACAAGTTTAACTGAAAAGGCTTGGAAGGTACGTCGGGAGGTATTTATGCTGCTGTTTACAAAATTACTTTTAAAAGACTGGCTGGTCATATCTAGAAATCACAATGTTGGATTCTTTTTTTTTCCATGTGAATTTGGAATTAGAAATGAAACTCTCCCTAAATTACACTTTGCATTTGGGTAAGTTTAAGAACAGATGTGTTTATGCTTCATACAAAGTTGAATGACAGATCGGTGCTGTGGACTTAGACTGTCATGCACATTAGTTTTTAAAAGCTTTTGGCAATGCCACCTCAAGGAGGCAGGAGAGGGGAGGCTCGTTTGTGCAATTCGGTAGTTATCTAAACTCAGTCCCACGTTGGAATTCACAGGCTTTGAGAACAAATCAGAAAGCAGACTATTGTATTGGAATCTAGCTTTTATAATAAGAAGGATCCAAAGATTCTAGGTGGAGCAAATGTATACTCCCCGTGTGAGGACATGGGGCATTCACGTTGTGAATGTTTATGTTCTTGGTATAATCTAGGAACCCGAAGAGTTTATCTCAGAGTGAACTATTTCTAGATTAGCTGCTTCTAGATGCTATCATTCTAGATTGTTGCTCTCTATATTTCATAGACAATGAATGGGAGGGTGGAGGAGGAACACAATGTTGAACCAGTTTCTGTTATTTAAATATTAAGTATTTTAAGCCTTTTAAGTGATTAGTCAGTGCTTGCTGCAAACATTTACTTTTGTATTTATTGTCACTAGAAGACTGTGGACTGTAATTTATTTTATTAAATATTTAGAAGATTATTTGGCTTTGGTGTTCAGGTGAGAAATAGTGAGGGCGTTTGTTTTTTTTTTTTTATTTTGTGGGTTTTTAAACATAATTCCCAATGGGGGAAGGAAGAAAGAGCTGTCTGATGTACAAGCGTGCATATCTTAAAAATAAGTGACCTTTGGGAATGTAGGCATTTAGAGGATGATTTCAGTCCCCCTCGGGGCAGGAGTCAAACTTCCTGTCTGACGTCAACAGCCTCGCTTGTTCAGGAAAGGGAACACCCTCCCACAGCAAAAAGGTGGGCGTGTCCAGGCAGCCCTTCACAGTGGAGACAGTGTCTCCTTTACCACCAGGGCCCTCCTGAGTCTTCTGTGGGGACTGCGGCTCCTGATGTGCGGAGTCACAGCACAGGCTTCCCAGAAGCCTTCACTCTGTTTTAAACTCCACTGACTTGGAAAGGAAGAAGCAGTCATTCACACAGAAGTGTGTATGAAGCCTAAATAACATCTAAGCATTTTTTCAAAAATATATTAAGGGTTTAACCATAAATAGAAGACAAGAGTATTATTTACTTAAATTTCTTACAAGCATATAAAACTTTATAAGTGTTTATATAGAGAGGTTAACTATAAGCATATAGTATTTATATTTGGGCAGGAAGGGTTAAATCAAATTTTTAATTTAAATAAGCATAGTTCCTTTAAAAATCAATAGTATTTATACTCTGAAAAAAGTATCAAGTGTAATTATTTATTTGTCCATGTTTTTCCTATTGTTTCTCCTTTGGGGGGAATGGTGTATTTTTACTTTGGTTTGGTTTTGTTTTCTGTTTTTTATCGTTCTGATTCACTAAATTTTAATAAAGTGTATTAACTTCTTTTTAACCAAAGCTTTCTGAATATGACCAGCCTCAGGTGCTAGTGCGTTAAAGAGCAACTAAACCTAATTCCAGTGTCCATTTATGAAATGATACAAGTTCATTGAATTTCTCTAAGGGTGAGAGAGCACTTAATGTTGAACTTAAAAGAAATTCCCTTTCCCAGAAAGGATTTTGCATGTACCTAATAAAAAAAAAAAAAAAAAAAGTGACATAATCACAGTACTAGCTACTCCATGGTGACACTTCTTTCCGAGCACACCGGGACACATCAGCATGCTGCTGCTACAAGGTCTTCCTGAACGAAAAGCAGCGTGGGGACTTCAAGAGCAAAGCCCCTGGACAGGGTAGGGACAGAGTAGTGGAGGCATGCTCCGTGAGATGAGAGAACAACTACTGTTATTTGGAGCAAAGTTGGGATATGAAGTTAAACAGTAAATTCAGCTGAAAAAAATGAGGTGTAGAAAATGGTATGAAAAACTGCATTTTTTTCTTCCTTGTTATAGAAACATCTGTGGGATGGTACAAAATATTTGATGATACAGAACAATTATTTTGAATAGTTCTTATAAAGTTTCCTGAATTTGAATGCCCAATAGTCTTTTAAATGCTGGAACTGCACTGTCATCCTGGCCAACGTAAGGCCTCATATGCACAATGGTTGACGGCAAGGAAACGAGGCTTTTGCACAAAGCCTGAACTTCGATTCTAGTGGTGTCCAAATGGTTGTAGTGTGTCGTGAAGAAACTGGCCTTGGTCACAGTGCAATCAAAAGTGCAGGTGAAAGTGCTTTTTTGGACAATTTGAAAATTGTGTTAAAGCCGTGGATTTTTTTTAAGCATTCGGCATCCTAGTTTACGTTAAAGCCATGGATTTTTTTGAAAGTCTTCAGCATCCTAATTCACCCTTCCTAACTTAAAGAAAACATGACTTAAGACACTGCTTCTAAGTTTGGTTGTTCTTTATAGTGTGGATACCCAGATGTCTGTGAGCGTATAGGGGTGGGCTGAGGGTCAAGTGAGGAGGGAATGTATGTGTGTGTGTGATTTTTGTGTATGATGTGCGTGTGTTGGACTGCTTCTAGGCTACTAAGTGTCAATGTAAAAGAAAATGTATTCAAAATACTTAAATCAAAACTAGAAGATGGGGAAAAAAAGATTTATTCTATACAAAGCCTTGTCTGGACCACTTTAGAGAGACTTCTATTTTTTTAACCCTTCTATAAATATTTGATGGCACTTGAAATATTCCTGCAATAACATGTGATTTGTGTAAAGAAAAAAAAAGATTTTGTAATGTGAAACAAAGAAAGAAAGTAATGTAATTTTCTAAAAAAAAAATACAAACAAACAAACTTTGTATTATTTTCTTGATGGAATTTGTCTATCTGTCTTTGGGAAACTTTTTATTTCATTGAATGTGCCATAGTAGAAATATGTGTTTTTAGTTTTAGACTAAGGAATAGCTGTTTGTGTTCCGACATTCCAGAATGCAAAACAACCTAGTAGCATCTTTAACGAAAGGGTTTAAGTAGGACGTAAGCTTCTCTCATCGTTGCTTTTTTGCACATGTTCTTCATTCCTCTCTAGTGCAATATGTACACAGAGCACTCGCGGGTGTACCTGGATCCCTCAGGGAAAAATACATATTTGTACAGTTGTTGTTGATGTTGTTTTTTCCTTTTGTTTTTGGCTAAGGAATGTCGACTGAATCACTTGTTATCGTTGAGGGGCAGCCAGATAATCATCCTAAAGCCACTGTTTCAAACATTGATTGTTTAAATCATGTGTCCTTCCAGTGCTATTATTTTCAAGATACTAATAATAAAAAGTTATTTTCTGACAGTTCTTTGTGCTGATTGGTGAAAAAAAAAAGGGTAACTAAGCACCTTATGATTGACTTACTGTGAATGACAATCCATCTTGGTATCAGCGATAGAAGCCCTATCATTTCGGAGTTGGGGTTAAGAGTCAGAAACAATGTGCTCAGGGATCTCCTAAAACTCTTCAAACAGGGTGGCCAGTACTACTGGGACAAATTGTGTTTTTTATTATTAATCATGATGATAATACTATCCCTCCAAGGCACAAGTGAACTGTATAGAACTAACTGCATGTGTGTATAAACTTCACTATCATCTCATTTTGTTGAGTTTGGAACTTAGGTGTTCTTCAGTTTTTTGTGTGCTTAAAAATATCCAGTGACTTCCGGAGCTATGCCAGTAGAAAGTTATGCCAGTATGTTCAAAAGATAAATGAATAGGTCATGTACCAACAGAGAGCATCGTTCAAAGTACAGCCCTGCAGATACCATTCATCATTTCTCAAATAATTAAAATATCATTATATATTTATAGCATTATATATTAAAAACTACTTCCAACTCTACATAATATGGACAAAAAAAATTAAACCAAAGGAGATGAGGGGACCTGGCTGTTGATGGAGTGAGACAGGTAAAAGATACGTGTATTTTTTTAAAGATTTTATTTATTCATTTTTAAAGAGAAGGGAAAGAAGGAGAAAGAGAGGGAGAGAAATATCAGTGTGTGGTTGTCTCTCTGCACCCCCTACTGGGGACCTGGCCCACAACCCAGACATGTGCCCTGACTGGGAATCGAACTGGCAACCCTTTGGTTTGCAGCTCATGCTCAACCCACTGAGCCACATCAGACAGAGCCTACAACATTGTATTTTTTGATGGCAGCAAACAACTATTGATTTTACTGTATTCTCCTCGGGAAGCAAGCCAAAAAAATTCCTTTATGTAACACAATTCTCCTATTTCCATGTTTGTAGTTTTTAATCTGTTACCTACCTGGTAACAACAACATGAGCCAACTTTTTTGGTCATGTTTTCCATTTTTGAAATATGGATTTGTTAACCATATTCCAATATATTGCTTTTCATAAAATCAGTTAACCTCAGTGTAATTGTTGGCTTTGATTCTTCCATTTCACACTTGGAATACACATTCAGAGAAAGCTTCTTATACTTTCTTAGGACCACACCAGAGCATAATCTGGGAAAACTTTTCATGTCTTTTAGATGAAAAAGAAGCCTTTACCTTGCTGCTTTTAATAATAAAGACTATGGAAATAGGCAGAAATCTCTCTCATACATGTCTACATATACATATACACATATCCATATACAAATACACATTACTGACAGTTTTATGTATTATATAACATTTGATTGCCACTTCTTATTTATAAAAGGATGACACAGCAGAACCCCATAAAAACAGCTTTCTACTCTACATCAGATCATGTGCCCAGAAAGGCAATTGCAACAGTCAGTCTTGATCTATTGCTAATAGTCTATAACACAAGTCTTCGTTCTGTCCCTAACCACTAGTATAAAGAGGTTCCACCAGATTTCATTAAAGAGACCTTCCTATGATTGTCTGTTCTTAAGAGGCAAGACTAACAAGCAATGGCTTTACCAAACAATTGGTTTTTCTTCTGGGTTTGTTTGCTTGTTTGTTAGTGTAGGTGAGATCAGTTTTGTAAGACACTCAGAAAATTTTTAAAATAATCCCAGAGCCCGGTTTCATACCAAGGAGACATTGTAGATGGGGGAGGAGAAGGAGATCTTCGTGTTTAAACAGACCCTCAGAACTTAGAGCAATAACCACATTCATTCATTCACTCATTCTTTCTTTCTTTTTATAAATGAATGACAGAATAGTCAATCCAAATAGGAACATTTTTTTCAGCAGTGAAACATGAAATGGAGTCTTGTGTTAAGAGAGTAAATATGAATATTTTAAATGGATGTCTAGAGAATCCGTGTTTGCTGTTTACATTTAGTATGTTTACCATGTTAGCAGTATCATACTCCTTCTATTTTTCTTCTAAGAACTAATGAAAGATAGCTTGGCCTCAGCTTAGACATGCTGCACATGCAATTATGCTGTTCTCTAAGAGCAACCAAATCCCAGTGTTCCTGTGTGATTCCTTTCTCATTCATTATTACTTCAACGTGGAGGAATACTATTTGTTGAAACGGTCATCACTGAACAAATTGTATATATAAATGCAGATAATTCTTGAGCATATAGTGAATATAATTTCACACACACAAAAAAAATCTGTATGTACTGTACACACCTTTCTGAATCCAAAATTCTCTTCTTACCACAATGGTTTAAAATCTCACGTAAAACAGTGGTAAATTTTAAACATTAGGACATTAGCTGGCTGCTTCTTTAAATGTACCTGTATTGTCTGCCTGCTCCTTTTGTGGAGATGTGTTTTTGTATTGGATGTTTGGGCCAATGGGAGGCTTCAAGCTACAACATATTTTCCCAGTTTAAATATATTTAACATATGACAAACCCCAGACAAGGCTTTTAATATGTATAAAGAACTGCAGTGTTAGGTGGTTTATTTGCAAACCGTTTTCAATGTTGTCCATTTTTATGGCACCTTTAACAATATTCTTGTTTCCAAAGTACAAAAAAAAATAGGTTAAATATCTAGCCATAACTGAATGTCAAGCAATAAAACAAATGACTTTTGTGTATAGACTTAAAAAAATACAAATTTTAGACATCTGCATGTAAATGCAATCTCTTGTTTACTGCTTTCTTCAACTTGAGCAATTGATTCCTTATTTACTATTAACTTAAGAACTTGTAATGGCCTGTAAACATTTTCTCTCTTACTCTTCTTTCAAATTTACCTTCATCCCTGCTTTTGAGTCATAATATTTAATGTTGTTCTGCACATCTCTATACAGTTAACTTTTTGGCTCTCATTCTGTATAGATAAGAAGATGTTATATTATAAACAGCCTACTCAGTGCAAATATTTATCTGTTTATCAAATCCACAATATGCTGTATAATACTGGTTTTACTATATAATCTATTTTAGACATAGCTGTTTAGAACTAGAGTGTGCTATTTTTGTGTTTTTCTGATGTGTGGTGCTAGATAAGTTACTTTTGTGAACAAAAAGAAAAAACCCTTTTATTCCTAGACAATACCACCTTGGGTCTTGTTAATTTCACTGAGTATAACTATATATTTGTATATATATACATATATATATATCTCTACCTGTGCCCAACTGGCAGCTGTATCAGAGTGCTGGATTTGGGACATGCTTTTCTCTTTAAATACATAATATCATTATATAAATTATTCTAGAGTGTATTTAATTAGGATAAAATTACTTCCTTAGTATGGATATTTGACATCTATAGGGTGAATTTGTTTATAAATATGGATATATGAAAACTTATTAGCAATTATTTTATGTTTGCTACTTGGCTTTATACCATATCTCCTGAGCTGAAAAATAATTTGCCAGGCCTTCAAGATCCTAAAGAAATACTCTAGTTTAATGGAGTAATACTTCTTTTTTCTTACTAAGGAATTATATTATTGACATCTGACAGGGTTGTGTACTTAGCTCCTATTGTAGATAATAGGAATTTATATAAAATATCTTTGGTGGCTTGATGGCCACCTTTTCCCTCCTACCTGAGCCGTGGGAAGTCTGAAGACATCCACTGTCGTGGCAGAACATGGGCCATAAAGCAGATTTGACGAGGGATGTTCTGCGCTAGTATGACCTCAACCAGTTCCATGAACTGCACGTGAAGGACCTTCATTTTAAAAGTCATTTATAATGAGCTTAGTTAAACTCCTTCACCTATTCTCCCAAGACCTATTGGCACTGTTAAAAATCCAAGTATATCAAATATCTAACTAAGGATGTAGTTAACCTTATTAAATATTGATTAGAATTGTTCTGTAATATTACTGAATTTGTAAGATCTTTAGCAAAGATTTTTGAGCAATTTATAAATATAGAGCAAATGTTTCTGTTTACTGCACTTTTTGTAATTGAAGGTGATAAATTCTCAAGCCAGGGTTATTGGCTTCCGTGCACTGCGTATTTACCCACAATTTAGACATTTTCCATTTTTATGGAAGAGTTGCTATTACCTTAATTATAAATGTAATCATGTGGTTAATGAAAGCTAATGCTAATAGTTAACCTTTTAAAGTGAATTGGCTACAGTTTAGGGGGAAATCTCTTTTAACACAAATCATGTCATTCCTTATTGCTTTGCTTAGAAAGAGAGGGGAAACTTTTTTTTAAGCACCATTCAGTATCCTAAGCTTCCTGAAGATAGAGATTGTATTTCTTTGTGTCTGTACAGTGGCCAGCACATCAGCATTTGATAATTGTTAAAGGACAACATGTGCCCCAAATTCAAACTCTTTTTCTGGGTTGTTACGGTAAATTTATAAAGTATGTCAAGCCTTATGGTTCACACTGTCTTCTACAACCAAGTACTAAAATACACATTTAAAAAGACCACGTGAAATGCTGATTCTAATTGTGTGTAGGTCTTGAGGATTAAGCACACAAATGTCACAAAACTCTGTGAGTAACAAACTCAGCCTTCTGTAAATATACATGCGAGTTTGGAAACAGTAATACTGTACCTATAAATATATCTGTCTGTTCTGTGTACAGTATGTAAAAACTCCTTTTCTGCCACACTAAAAATGCAAGCCATTTATGGGTATCCTAAAAATAGTATTGTACTAAAACTTTGCTAATGATCTTTATTGGAGGATCATCCAACTTTTCACATCATTGGGTTTTCTTTTCAATTCACTCTTACAGTAGTCTGCTTATTTCCAGCTGTTTGTTATTTTATTGTGTCCTGAATTTAAAAAAAATATTTTGATTCATTTTGTAAATACAAGCTGTAAAAAAAGAGAGATTTAATGTTGTCTTTTAAATACTCCGATTTTCATTCTAATATGAATGTTGTTATATTGTACTTAGAAACTGTACCTTTAATATTACATTACCTTTATTAAAAGTGCATTGAACACATCAATTTTAGATGTGCTTTATGTACTGTTATCCTATAATAAAACTTCAGCTTCTAATGGAACACTTGCCTTGTTTTTGTCTTCCTTGTTTTTCAATTTTACATGATTTTCTAGCTTCCATCTTGTCTCGAGAGAACAGTCTAGTAGAACCTTGCTACTCGAAGTGTGGTCTGCAGACCAGTAGCAGTGGCATCACCTGTCACCTTGACCTTATTAGAGATGCAGAATCAAAAGTACCACCCAGAACTACTAAAACAGAATCTGCATTTTTACAAGATCCCTAGGTGATTGGTTTGCTTACTAAAGTTTGAGAGCACTGGTCTATTGTACTTTAAAAAACATTATTTTCATTTTGCAGAGGGAAAAATACGTGCAAGGATAAAATGACCCTTTTGATCAGAGAAGGCAAAGAAAGAAGTTTTAACTTGTGAGCTAACATCTATTGATCCATAGAGGCTTCTGAGGCTACTTTCTGTCTCAACGGAGAAGGATGCCAGGACTGATTAGCGATGCCTTCCCTGAGTGTGGGAGGGGAGAAGTCCTGAATGCACACAATGCATGGTCATCTCTGCTTTAGAAATCATTAAAATGTAACATCATAAATGCTGGCGAGGGCTTTAAGGATTCGAGAGACTAAAAATCTGACTTTCCCTGGGCCAGCATTGCCCACCTCCAGCCCCACCCCTCCTCTTGAGTACATTAGATAGGTGCAACCAATAAATGTAACATCAGCTAAGTAGCACACTCTTATAACAATGCAAAAACCTCACCACAAATTATTTTTAAAGTAATGTCAAGGACATTCAAATAAAATATTCTGAAGTCGGAATAAAGGCCTGCCTTTTCCTACACACACATACACATACTACAATACCTAAGTGTCTCTTGCACTCAGTAAAAGAAATGTTTGAATTGATCCCCCAAATTGTCCCATGTACCAGACAGTCCCTAATCCTGCTTTTATTTCCAGCTACCCCACAGAAGAGGAAGAATGACATGCATGTGAAATACATGTGGACTGTCAAATTTCATATAAGTATGAATATTCACCACCTTCCAGTATCTCGAGAAATTGAGAGTTAATGGAACTATTGGAGATCAAAATATAAAATCAGTTTCCTCTGGGCCTTTGGCCAAGCTCATGCCTGAGCTCCTTCTGATACAAGCAGTGGTTTACACTCAGCTCTCCTTCATGGATTAGTTTGCTGCACTTCAAGAAGGGCACTTAAACCGGTGTATGAAAGGAACATCTTAAAGTTCTGTCTATAATGATCTCATGGGATAATTAGAGAAAACAAGTGTCAAGTTATTATAAATCTCTTGGAGACAAAGCCGAAGAAATAATCATAGGCTAGTCAGTAAGACCTGACCACATGTCTTAGTTGCTGCTGTTACTACTAAGCTTTATTTCATGGGTCAAGATCAATCTAGCCCCTCAAAACTAGACTTCTTATTCTAATGTGTGTTTGGATCAAACAGACTGGTGCAAAGTAGGCCTGCTTCCCATGCCAGGTCTCAAAAGAGCAGCCCAGGCTCATGTGCTGGGGAGGCTACTGGCTGATGTGCTGAGATGCAGATGATCTTGCACATTTCTCCATCTTGGTTTGGTTCACAAGAAGAAATACAAACCTAGTAACAATTTTGATAACTTCACTTACCAAGGTGCTTGTAGTTTAAAGCGTTCTTTTTGAAATTTTGGTCTGATGAAACATTTTACATGCTCAAAATAAGTACCTACTGTTATAAATTCTTTCAAACTGAAATTGGCTTCTCTTTCAACTTCTGGGTTTGCTTGTTTCTCAGTTTAGCAGAAATGGGAGAACAAATCTTTTTTTCTACTTAAAATTCCAAAGAATAAAACAGTACAATCACTTTGGAAAATAGTTTGGCAGCATCTTGAAGAATTAAACAAAAATTTATCATACAACCCAACAATTGCACTTCTGGGTATCTACCCAAGAGAAATGAAAACACAAAGCTCACAAAGACTTGTACACAAATGCTCACAGCAACATTGCTCATAATAAGCCCAAAAGTGGAAACTACCTTATGGTTCTTCAACTGTCCAATGGATAAACAAAATGAGGCATTTCCATAAATGAGCTACTTACCACTCAGCTACAAAACTCAATACCTGCTACAATATGGATGATCCTCAAAAAATATCCTGCTAAGAAAAACAATCCAGATGCAAAAGACTACATATTACATAATTTGATTTATATGAAATGTTCAGAAAAGGCAAATCTACAGAGATGGAAATCAGATTAGTGTTTTCCTGGGGTTGAGGGTGACAAGGATTGACTGAAAATGGACACAAATGATTTTCCAGGGTAATAAAAATGTTCTAAATTTGGTAATGTTAATAATTGCAAAACTCCCAAACTCCCCACACTTACTAAAAAATCACCGAATAGCATATCTAAAATGGGTGAAGTTTGTGGTAGATAGTAAACCTACCTACACACCTCAACAAAGCTTGTGTGCTCTCTCTCTCTCTCTCTCACACTCTCACACACACACACACACACACACACACACACAGAGGTTTTCTCATCACCAAGAACAAAGCCCAAAAGCTCGAATTCTCTAGCATGGCATGAAGACCCCCTCTAGCCCCTCTCCTACAACGAGCTTCATTCCCTCTGCTCCACACATACACAGTAAGGCAATAACTTCTCCCCTTCCCCATAACATGCTGTTTCACACTTCTGTGATTTTTCACACCTGAAAATGCACAGTCTGTTTTCTGCTCAGCAAACTCCTACTCATCCTTCAAGACCCAATGTAAATCAGGCTTCTCTGAAAGTCTCTAAAGTGTCTCAGTCATCAAAACGAATTCCTTCCTCATTGTGTTCCCATGAAATCTTCTATAATATGTGTGGATATTGTTTCTTATTTTTATTATAATCACTTGTTTTCAATGCCATGTCCACTGTGTTGTGGGTTTGGAGGGAGCAGAATAAGTATATACTAATAGCTACTATTTGTTGAACATTAATCTTTGCATATTACTTTTTTTTGCCTCTTTACATTTACATATTACTTGAAATCTTCACTATGATCCTGTAGGTGAGCTGTTACTGTCTCCTCTACTTGGGCTCAAAGAGTAAACACATGTTCTAGAATCCCACTGCCTATAAGCAGAAAACTGAGATCAAACCCATATATGCTGGACTCCCAAAATCCATGTTCTTTTCACTAAGTTGCTTCTGGTTTACAAAGCAGAGCATATATGGGAAAAAAGATGCATATATTTAATACATTGTAATGGTGAAATTATGAGACCTGATTTTTATTTTTAAGCTTTATTTTTTTAATTTTCATTGTTACTCTATTAAAGTTGTCCCAATTTTTCCCCCTTTGCCCTCCTCTGCCCAGCCCACCCCCTGCTCCCACAGTTGATTCTCACACCATTGACCATGACCTGATTTTTAGAATCAGCTTTATCACACTAATCATGTAATGTTGGAAAAGTCACTTGACAATCTGGGCCTCAGTTTCCTTATCAGGAAAACGAAAGGGCTGGACTAGATAATCTCCAAAGTTCCTTCTGGCTGTAAAAACTCTGATTCCATGTGCTATCTCGCAACCACCGGAACTCAAGATACACCAAACCAGAGCAGACTGCTCCATGCTAATCTAGAATCTCAACACAGGCCATATCTGGTGATGTCACGATAGCACACAACTGTGGGCTGGTGGATCCCAGCTGCATGAATGCTTAAACGGTTCTGGAGTGGTCCTTGAGCAGTTGTTGAAGACTGGGACAGGACACCCAACTCTCTCTGATTGTGACTGAATGCTTTATGAAACAGTTCATTAACTGTTACATTGCCTTATCTCCATGTCCATCCTAGCACATCAATACCACTCACCTAATAAGAAAGCTACCGGCATAGTGCCAGGCATTGCACAGGCTGATCTGCAAGGATTCACAAACACTGTCTCCTAACCAGCCTCTACTGTACAACTCATTCACTACCTTGCCAGATAAACTTTCCTGAAACATATACGATGGTGTCATTCCTCTCCTTATAAGCCCCCCCTCTTGCCAGCATTCTATTTCTTATACGATAAAGTCAAAATCCATAGTCTAACTTATCAAATTTTCTGTGGTCTAGTTCCAACCTGTTTCTCCAAACTCTTTTCTACTACTCTTCATAAACCTTGCATTCCAGGCAAAATAAACTACCTAAGGTCCTTGTATTCAAAATAGGTTTTTAACATAAGCATAGTTTTTACCTTATTTTAAACACCATGAATCATCCTAAAATTTAGAAGAAACTTTCCTGATAGCACACGAACTGGATTTTGTTCATACAGTACGTTTATGTAACTCCTTGCGCTGGTTTCTGTTTAGAATGTCCTTTCCCATCATCCTCATACTTCAAATTCTTCAAAGGAGCTGACGTGTTAAGTGGCCAATGTGGTAATGGACATATAAGTACTCAATACATGTCTTTAGCTATTCAAAGCTGCCTTCTCTCCCTCTCTGTACTCACTCAATCTTTTCTATATACCCCTCTTACATAGCTTAACACTTCCCATTTTGTGTTATAATCATTTAATGTGAATGTCTTAGATGCTCAACAATCGAAAGCTCTTGGAAAACCCACTGTTTGCCCTTAGTCCTAGGTGTACCCAGCACTAAGCACACATTACAAATGCTCAATGATTCTTTCCGTAATGGAAGAGGGGAGGAAAGGGAGAAAAAAAAATAAAAGACTGGTGTGAGAGCCAGTCAAGCCGCTGGTGGAAACTGACATCTAAACCGGAATAGGGAGAGAATGGAGACCTACTATGTGTCAGGTAGTGTGCTGAGCACAATTCATCATTTGTTCTATTGAATCCTTTAAAAAAACCCTACTGAGTATGTCTCTTAATTTTACTGAAGAGATGTCAAGGTTAGGGAAGTTAAAACTGTAGGCTAAGGTAGAAAAATTCGTCTGTTGGGGTCTTTCCAGTACTACACTTATCACCGGCCCTCTTCCCAATTTATCACTGAGGTGGACGACGTTTTTGGACAGGCATCCCCCCTCCGCCTGCCCCACCGGCAAGCCCAAGGCAGCCCAATACGACTGTTTCCACGCTGAACTACCCCAGCGTGCTGGTCGGAGTGCGGCCGGCCGCACGAGACCCACGGGCCCCGCCCGCTGCGCCCCGGGTGACGTCATCACGCCGTGCCGACGCGGCGCCCGCACGTTGTTTAAAAGAGGGCTGCCCGAGGCGCTCGCGACAGTGCGTGGAGTGGGGACGCAGCCCAGGCCCGCGGCACTGGGGCCCGCGAGGTGGGAAGAAAGGCTGCTTTGCAGTGGGGACGCGGAAGGGAGGCTGCTACCTTGCAGGCGGGCGCATTTTTAGGGGCGGGAGGTCGGAACATGGCGGCACCATCGGCTGGGACTGCACACGGCTCCTGGCTCTGGCGCGGCCCCGGCCTCCGGCGTAGCTGTCGCCCTTACCTGCTTCCCTGGAACCTCGTTTCTCTTCTCTTTTAGTCCCCGTCCCCTCGGCCATTCTTTTTGCCCCCACTGCACCCCCCCATACTCCACTCGGGGTCGAAGTGTAACATGTGGGTTATGTGGGAGCTGGTCAGGCCTGCCCACTGCCCAGAGACCAACTCCTAAATTTGTAAGTTTCTCACTTACCTTATCAGTGCGTTGTGGGTGACAGGAGAAGCCCCTAACATGGAGTGGTCAAGCCTGATTTTGTAGTACGGGTGATTCCTCTAAGTGACCCTGTGAAATGTCACTTGTTGCCTGGACCGCATTCTCCAAAGTGTGGTGCTCTTTGAACGATTGTTGATGTCCAGAAAGCTTTTGGCCTGCATTGCTTCCCGAATATGCCCCATACCAGGGTGATTGGGAAACCCAAAGCAAGATTTATATTGGCAATTGGAGCTGGGGGAGAGCTAAGTTAAGACGTACTGCTCCACGCCGTAATGTGATGCAGTGTGGAAGCAATGAGAACATTCTGTTCCTGCTCTTATTTTCACAGTGAATATTCTGAGAGTGACATTCCTGGAGTAAATTAAATGGAGGAGAACGTATCCTACATCATCATTGCTGTTCTACAAAGAACCTCGGCAATGTTCATCTGTCTGCTGTTTTAGGTGTCCTGTCAGTTTTAGGGTAGGGGTTAGGACCAGATCCTTACTGATGTGAGTTAACAGCCCCTGGTTTAACACCACTCAAACAATCACCTGCTTTTAATGTTGACCTTGTATTTTTCTTCAGGTGAGTGTTGATTCTGGAGAATTCCTGCCTCTGCTGTAGCCCGAATTACCAGGCAGCAGAATTGTGAGCTAGAGTGAAGGAGAAGTCTAAAGAATATGAGCTCCGTTATGGCCATGAGTGAACCAAGGCTGAACTGGTGAGCTACATCTGTTTGCAATCGCCTTCAGAGAACTAAAGTGGGACTGTGCTGGTTTAGGAAAGGAGGCTTCTTGAACTGGAGCGATGTGGAGGGAACAGTGAAAATATAAATTCAGTGGCTCAGAATTTACCCCATTCTTACCTTCACATACTGAACACTTTTGAATTATAGCTAACTGCACTTCATCTTCTAAAGTGGCAGGTCAGCACTGAGATTGCTACTAGGTATGATTCCATCATGTATTTATTGTGTCTTTTATTTTTTTTAAACATTGTATTGTTTACTTTTGGGGGGGGAGAGAGAGGGAGAGAAATATCAATGTGTGGTTGCATCTCAAACGCCCCATACTAGGGACCTGGCTGGCAGCCCAGGCATGTCCCCTAACTGGGAATCAAACTGGGAACCCTTCAGTTCCCAGGCCTGAACTCTGTCCTCTGAGCCACAGCAGCCAAGGCATATTTATTGTATCTCAGTGAAGGAGAGATGCTGCAATCTTCTTGTGCCCAAGAACCTTACCCACTTTTGTACAAGTAATAAAAAGACTCCACCTTTAAAAATAGACAAGCTTCTTTTTATTATGTTGGACTCTATCAAGTGATCATATAAATGCATTTTAGAAGGCTATTTTAGAAGTGTATGAGAACTTCGCAAATAGAGGACTCAGTTAAGTAGCATAAGTGGCTTTGTAGAGATCTAACCAATATATACGCTGCTTTAAATTAATTTAACACACATTTACCGAGCATCTGCAATTTGCTAGCCAAGGAAAGTACAAAAGTTAGAAGAGATTATAGAAATAATTAAAATAGAACCTGACTCAAAGAAGATGCAATCAGTATGTGCTCAATAAGTATTTGCTTATTGCAAGCAATGCTCCCTTCCCCCAAGGAGCTCACAATTCCTGAGGCCTATGGCTTTGTTTTTGTATAATATGCAAAACCTTAAAATGTAATGAGATGGCACAGATACAGTACCATAATAGTAGTAAGAACTGCACTGGTGAATAGCAAGTAAGACATTCTAATTTTACCATTTATACTTTAATCTTTTGGGGGGCAGGGGGATAAATGCCTTTAAAAACAGTAAGAAATGAGTATGGAGCAAACATGCTAGAATTTTCCATTTGGGGAATGGGCCAGCCAGAAGTTGCCATTTAATTGAAGGTATATAGAATAATCCTCTGCCATAAAGTGTGTTTCAGATGCAGCACAGTAGTGTTCTTATACACCATTGTCATTGTGAAACCAAGTGTGGTTTAGAGCTTTTGCAAAGCATTGTAGCCCTCGAACTCTCCTCTTGCACAGAATTCTACTAATCTTTGTCTTCCCAGGTTAATGGTTCTCAGTGTTTTTAGTTTTTTAATTCCTTCATTCAACTAGCATTTATGGGATGTTTACTAATGGTGAACACTGACTGTATTAGTCTCTAAATTATTTATGTTATGGAAAATCATATATGACCCTAGAAGTAGTTTTAGTAGACACACACCATATATCACATTTGCCACGATAATGAAAATAGGAAATAAACAGTCTTTGTAGAACATGAACAAAAATAAATGAGAAGCATTTTCTGTCAGTAACCAGACATAGTGTTATACCCAGAGCCAGAGGTGAACCCTGCCCCCGGCAGACCTTATATTGTACTTTAATCTGTCCTATCTTTCACACTTTAGTATCTCTGACGTTTATTTAATGGGTTACTAAAGGCAAAGCAGAGCTGGTTGTTGGAATTGTGAAATTTCAGAATGGCCCTGTGCTAAAAGCTATTTAAGAAGGAAAACATCTAAACTCATACATCTGATACGTGAAATTAAAATTATTAAGAGGTGATTGTCTAGGAAAGGGGCTGCAGAGGGCATGTCATTATAAATTACGATTGTATACCATCATGCTGCTTACTCTAGCAGGAGATTTTGAATTGCCAAATGCAAGTAAATTACTTTGCTTTACAGGGATATCTCCTCAAAAAATGGTCTTAAGACATTTTTCTCTCGAGAAAATTATAAAGATCATTCCATGGCTCCAAGTTTAAAAGAACTGTGCATTTTATCCAGCAGGTAATATGTTTATTTATTTGGTTAACTAGTTCCATATTTGGTTGTTATTTTTTTTTGATAGTTGAAGTTTTATATCTACAACTACTATTAAACATTCAAATTATAGAAATATAAAAATTAGAAAACAGAAGAACTCAGTACCCAAAGATAACCTCTCTTCGGTATATATCTTTTCTGGCCATTCTCCACACATTAACAGATAATAGATATTAAAACAAAAATAGGTTCCTATTATATTGGTTCAGCCAAAAAATCCATTTAGTTTTTACCGTAAAATAAAAACACATTTTTCATTTTCACCAATAACTTTCTTGGTTTGGATATTTGGAGTATGTTGACTATCCCCTGCTATTGGCTTATAGTGGGTAGAGACCAGGGTGCTGCTAAATGCATAAGACAGCCCCACGGCAAAGAGTTATTTGGCCAAAATGTCAGTAGTACCAAGAAACTTGCAAACCACTTTTGACACGTTCAAGCAGTCACAGCACCTTCTCCATATATTACACAAATCTTTTTTTCTGTTTCAGTTGGCATTTTTTGCCTTTCTTGAAATAATAAAGCATAGTACACTAAAAATGTTGCATATTTTCTTCCACCTTCAATATTAAAATAGCTGCACAAAAACACCTTTTTTGATAAGTTTTTTTAAATGCATGTTGATATGACAGCCGTCACAATACAGTCTAACAAAATTGTTGTCAATGAAGTTAAAGACAGCTAAGCACTACTAGAGCTATTGTACAGAAAAAAATTAAACAAACTTTTTCTATGCTATATGACACTATAAATGCTATATAATACTATAAATACTATAAAACTTTTATAGTTTTTTCATTTAAAATAATATGTCTTGTATCTTTCTATATCTCTGCCTATTGCTCAATCTTCTTAATAATTGCATATTGCTTTATTACATAAATGTACTTTTTAATTTATTTAGTTAGTCTTATATATTATAAAGTGCTTGTGTTCCTTTTTTGAAATTATAAACTTTCATCTATGAACTTTTTGTAGTCATTTCTGAGATAAATTCATATAAATGGTTAGATGGCATATAATGTTTTAATAGATACTACTGAACTGCCAGTTACCACCCCACGCCAGAATGAAAATACCCATTAATTGATCATTTTCCCTTCTCACTGCTTGCTTGACTTCTAACAGCTCTTCTTTCCCTTGTGATTGGTTTTTTCTACAGTATTGTGGATGAATCTTGAAACCAAGTAATCAGGTTTACTAGGAATGGGTAAATGGGGAATTAGGTAGCTTCTGGGGAGCTCAACATTTATTTTCATCTGTTGTTCCCTCGTTTTGCTGTAGAAGTGAATTTTTAGCCTCTTTATCAAATGGGACCCCATCTTTTCCTGCCTTCTCAGTACCCTTTCTGTCAGTTAACATCCCCTGTTAGTCCTGTATCTTTGTTCTCTCTGGATCGGTACAGCCATGCCTCATTTAATTGGGCTTCATGAGTATTATGTTTTTACAAATCGAAGGCAAGACCACTATCTACAAAGGATTATCATTCGTTTTATTGTGAAATTTGCTTTATTGCGGCAGTGTGGAACCAAACCCACGATAATCTTGGAGGTATGCCTACATTTAAAAGTGTTCATGTTTTTCCTGTCTTTAATCCCTGGTCGCCAGATTCCCTCCTAGGTACTCTCTTACCTCTTTGTCCATTTGTGCTTAGACCCCTTTAAAGATTTGTGTATGCATGCTGGGAGGACACGAGGGACAAGGGTACTATAACGTGCTGAAACAGTAAAATGGCAGTAACAATTTTCCTTATCCTTATCAACATCAACAATTACTTTATCAATTAACAACAACAATTACTTTAAATTGTTGTTGTTATCCTTACCAACAATTACTTTAAATGCACTGAACTCTCCAATCAAAAGACAAATCGGGAGAATGGATTTTAAAAAAGTTCCCTTCATTGTATATAGCTCAGAGGACTTGCTTTCATAGAACCTCCCACTGTAATCTGGCTTCTACCCGTTATAGTCTAAGACTGCTCCTCTCAAAATCAATAAACTATTGACTATGGAGACATCTTACTCTCCTAGTTTTCCTCCTCGTCCAGTGACTGGTGTTTCTCAATCTTGTTTGCCATCTTCATTGTTAGGTTTACCATGCTGCCTTATCAGACTCTGGATCTTTTTAAAAAAATACTGATTTTGTACTCTCAACCCAACCTTTTTTTTTTTTAAGATTTTGTTTATTTTTAGAGAGAGGGGAAGGGAGGGAGAAAGAGAAGGAGAGAGACATCAATGTGTGGCTGCCTCTCATGCGCCCTCTACTGAGGGCCTGGCCCATAACCCAGGCATGAGCCCTGACTGGGAATCGAACCCATGACCCTCTGGCTCATAGGCCAGCGCTCAGTCCACTGAGCCACACCAGCCAGGGCTCAACCCAACCTTTGGAATTTGAACCTTTGAGTATGTGTCTGTGGAATCAATTAATTAACCCTATTGATATTCATTTAGGTCATCTCTGTTCCTTTACTACTATAAACAGCATCCTTTTTATACATGTGCTGGTATAAGAACTAGGATAAATTTCTATTAGAGGTGGGTTTGTATGTGTTATTTATTTTGACAGATATTGCCAGATTGCCATTAAAAACATTAACAAAACAAGCACTTTTATTGATTTCATCAAATTAACACATAGGTTGATATAAAAACAAGCAAAAGTTGTATTAAAGAGACAATTTCAAAAATATTTTAAAACAGGCAATTTTAGAAGCAATATTCTTCTTCCCAAACTGCATAATTATGTCTTGACTAATGTCAGCTATAGACATTAGATTCCTTATAAATGTACATCTGTGGTTATTTCTGTCATTCAACTTGTACTGTGTCTTAGGGATAAATAATTTCTTTCAAACTTATTAATTAAATAAAGAATTACCTTTGTTTATTTGAATAATAGAATGCCTACCAATTCTAGTATCCTGGTATTTGGTGAACATAGAGCTTTGCCTTAAAAAAAATTCTACAATTTCAAGAACTTTTATCTCAGTCATCTTTTTTGCATCAAACTAAAAATTTCTAATATTAATCTTTTTTATCCTGCCAGTGCTTCTTAATTATTTTAATAGCTGTTTACAAGTCCACCACCATTCAGCATATTCCAGGTGTGGATTATAGTCTGGATTATGTGAGGGAGAGGACCTCTTACCTGCTTTAGGGTTCGCCTAACTCCTAAATTGTTTCCCTTAGAATATGATTGTTTTTCTGTAGATTTCCATATAGCATAAAATAATTTATTATTATAATTTACCTATTATATAGAAAAATAAAGACAAAAGCATTGATTTTATATATTTCTACTCTTTTTTTTTGCTAACCTTGAGTTTTACTAAGTTTTACAGTAAGGAATGGATTTTCAGACTATATTAATTTGTAACTGATTCCTTGATTGAAAACTGAGAAGAATATAAAATTTTTGTTAGCCTTAATTTTGTAATTTTATTCTCTAACATTTGGGAAGATGTTAAAAACTCTAATTACACGACTTTCAAACAGTGTGAAGTTTTTATGCAACCCTTCATTGAAAGGTAAACATTTGCCTTTTTTTCAAATTTAAAGTGTCTGGTTGTAGACATTTATACCTGAGTTGCGAACAAGGGGGTAAGTAGCTGTAAATAGAAAATTACCTGTTAAAATTTAACGTGTTTAATATAGAAAAGTAAATCAAATTTGGGAGGTAGAAGGAGACTTCACATGAAGACGAGAAGCAAGCTCCATTTCCAAACACTCCTTAGAGAAGCTGCCCAAACCAGTAGACTTAAAAATTAGGAAACTTGAACTTTTGAATTCTGCCCTTTTTTTTCATAGAAACTTTAAGTAAAAAAGGAGAATGAGTAGTAGACAAAATGAAGGGGGAAGACTTCAAACCTTCAACTGAAATAAAATATAATGCTGTAAATGTGGATAGAGAAAACCTGTCACATGCTTTTGGCTTGCACCCTGATGAAGATTTTGACAGCACTGCACACGGAAATGATCTTGATGTGCTGCCATTTCATTCTTTGCTGAATGTAGCCAATTTAAACTGCTAGAAATTCTTGACATTCCTACTCTGGCGTATCTGAGTCAGCATCTTGTTGCTGCAGCACCTTAATTAAATTTGCCAGTTTGTGCCACAAGGACAGACATGTTCTCATATTCAGAGAGACAACTGTGAAGCAGTATTGTTAAGAGTTGTGGACACAATGCTGTAAGGTTTGAATAGCTCTCAAGACATTTTCTAGTGAGAAATCAATTTGCTGTGATATAGTTCTCCCAAGATCAGCAGTTAATATTCATTTTGTTAACCTAAAATATGCTTATTTTTATACAGTTATGGGAAAAACTTCAGTCACTAAGTATGTCTTCTTTCACCTATATTATTTTCAGAGCCAATCTAAGTATTCTTAATTTGCATAATTCTTTTCCATTTACTAGCCACCTCTCTTGACTAATTTTCCATCCATAAGTTTAGGTCTAAAAAAGTGGTCTTGAATATTTCTTCTTTGGGTCTTTAAATCTTCTAAAAATTTTGGAATTTTTACTGTATTTATTCTAATATCGTAAAGTTCATTTAAAACAAGTCATTGTTAGTTTTGGATGGAGCTTAACTCACCCTTTGTCCAGGTTCAGATCTAGATTGGTAATTCTCAACCTTATCAAGCCAAAATCCTCCCATTTTTTGTAAATACTTATAAGAAATAAGATACCTCCTTTACTAGCCTGAATTGAAATAATACCCACAGATATAATAATATTTAGAAATAATATCCAAGATATATAAATGTGAATAAAAGAAAAACAATTTATATTCTAATATATGTTTTAATATGTAGATTCCTAAAATATTGCAGTAGAAGATATAATGAAGTAGTGAAATGCACCAGCTAAAATGAATAAGGCTGGATTTACGAAATGTAATTTAAACTATACTATAAAGCAGTGATTTTTCAACCGGTGTGCCTCAGGATTTTTAAAACATGAAGTACCTGACTATTTTGTCAGGGGCTCTGACCTCTTTCCCCTTAGATTGTCAAATAAAAAAATGCCAGCAGCCAACAAAATAATAGCCATCCAATGTGAGTGAATCAAAATTACACCTATTTTTGTCAGATCAGCAAAAAATATATATTTTTTTGGTGTGCTGCAGAATTTTAGTAATTAGTTTATGGGTGGCGTGAGATGCAAAAGGTTGAAAATGACTGCCATAAAAGAATCATAAGAAAACCAAAGGGAATAAAATGTATTAAGATAAGTAACAACAAGCTCTGGCTGGGTAGTTCAGTTGGTTAGAGTGTCATCCTGATACACCAAGGTTGCAGGTTTGATCTCTGGTCAGGGCACATATAAGATTCCATCAATGAATGCATAAATTAAGGGGAACAGCAAATTAATGTTTCTTCCCTTCTTTTTCCTTCTCTCTCCACCATCTCTCCCTCCCTCTCTTCTTTCCTCCCTTCCTTCCTTCCTTCCTCCCTCTCTTTCTCTCTCTAAAGTCAGTAAATAAAAGAAAAAAGATAACAGACCAGACTGACTTGTATATGGTAAGAGGAAGCCTGAAGAGACCTTTAGAAGTTGTGCAGAACACCATCATACATTACAGGCAGGAAGTATTCCCCACCTTTAAATTCTTTCAATTCTTTTCCTCTTTTTTGACAACCCAAATACATCCACAGGTTTCCAAAATGTCCTCAGGGAATCAGTACTCTTATAACTGAGAACCACTGCTCTGGGTATTTCCTGCCTCTCCCCCTCCCCCTCTCCCTCTGAATTCCTAATCTTGACGTCCTTAGGATACTGCTCAGTCACCTATTCAGTGTGTTCAGTTTGCTAACCTGAGAGCTCCGTAGTCACGTTGTATTGATGTACATATTTTATTTTCTTTCTTCTCCATTTATTTTATCTGCTTGATTATAAGGTCCTAGGAAGCAGAAATTGTATCATGCTCAATGTTGGTTGTATCTCTAGTACCCAATAATAGGTCTGGCACATGGTAGTCAATAAATATTAGTTAATGGAGGAATAAAGAATGAATCAACAGACATTCCTCTTTCTCATTACTTTTCCTTTCTCTTGGGTTATCATTGTTGTTAAATTTGGAACCAAATATAGGGAATAATTGCTGCCATAGAAATTAGAGTTGTTGAGGCTAAGAAAATGCAGTGTGTGTGTATAACCAAGCAAACCAGGGCTTGTCGATGTGGTGCCTTGATGCATGACCCAACAATTAGTGTTGGTGGAAACAGATTTTTATTTACAGGATTCCAACCTCGGGGGGACTGAGAGCACTCCTGCTCAGAGCCTGCTGTCCCACGACCCAGCATTTCCCTTGCTTCCAAAAGGCTATAAGGCCATGCCCAGAAGCTCCCCATATCTGTTCTTAAGCTGGTTGTGCAAACAGGTCTCTATCCCCTCTGGAAGGTTCTCTTGTGGGTTTCAGAGTTTCTGTCTTTTTGCAGCAGCTCTCTTCTTCAGGATCTGGGCTACATTGTCCTCAGCCTCCACGTAAGGTTCGGGGGAACATGTGCCATGTCACACTGGATTGTGGTGGAGTCCAGGAAGGCACATGTCCCAAGAGAGTGACTTCTCTGTACACCCTTCAGGGAAGCTGGAGTCTGCAGCTTCAGCATTCCTGGTCGCAGTTCAGTTCAGCTCTCTCCTTACACCATTTCTTCTTGTGTGGCTTCTTCCTCCTCTTTTTCAGACCTCATGGTGGAATTCCTCCTTCCTACCTCAGGCTACATGGCAGAATCCCCTTCTCTTTCAGACTGCCCTTATTTTAAATGCTCAGCCCAGAACTTCCTAAGCGATCTCACCTCCAGTCCCTTTTATGATGTGCTACTTTTGCCAATTTCCCTGTATTTTTTACCTTCTTTCAGCTGCCATCTTTAGTCAGGGCAAGAGTTCCCCATGACATGGGCATCCAGGGTGGGCATCCACCACAACTGGGAATGTCATAAGTCACTTGACTCTCTGAAAGCCACTTACACCTTTTGCTTAGGGCAGTAGCACAGCTGTCAACTTGCAACAGTTATGCAAAGTATCTTAAACACCATATCTGTATTGTCTACCTCCCCCAACCAAGGTTTGTGGGCAGTATATCAGGGGACCCCTGCTCTGCACCCCATTACATGTGTACTTTAAAACAATTAAAGTGTAGATTACAACAGCTGAATATCAGGAATAAAGACAGTGTGAAAAAGATAATAAATTTGTATTCATATACTTTAATTGGAGTGGTAGGGTGATTTTTCCAAAATTGGGGATAGCATTTTGTAAACAGATATGGTAACAGGTTCCATAGCTACTCACTCCAGTGCATTTCATTGTAGATATGCCAAGGTTCTCTTTTGCATCCATACAAAGTATAAAGACATTTCCGTGTATTTAGCCTTGTACACAAGTGCTAGAGGATTATACAACTTTATATTTTTTATAAAATATGACACACAGATGGGATTTTCTCTTTAATTCTTGAGATAATTGAAGCAGAGGAAACCAGAGAGTTAGAATCAGTGAACTGGTTAACTTCAAGTATGTGACCATATCATAACCTGCTCTCTGGCTTTTGTTCATCATAGTAAGTGATATATTTTATTGAAAAGTTTAATAAGCATTGTAAAGCAACTAAAATGTAAAGATGAAATAAATACCTGCATATATAATTGGCAAGAGTGATTTACTTCTCTTCAATGGAGGAAAAAACTCCCAAATTGAATGACTTGTCTAAGGAGTATGCCTCTTCCTTTCCATCAGATAATTGAAGGTGAGCTTGTAACGCAATCCTATCCTGCAGAATACTTAATTTACACAAAACAGTTAGACATCAGAATGCAGGTGGCAAAGTTAGATAATAATTCAGAATTTACCATGTTAATCATGCTATATTCTCCCTGGTGATTAAGAATCAGAAAGTTCCATGATAGTAATCTTCATGTGAAAAGCACATATTTGTAAATTGTATTTTTTTTCCAGGCGTATGGGAGAAAATTTGAATGCATCAGCAAGTTCTGTAGAAAATGAGCCAGCAGTTAGTGCAGCAACTCAAGCAAAGGAAAAAGTTAAAACCGCAGTTGGAATGGTTCTTCTTCCCAAACCAAGAGTTCCTTATCCTCGTTTCTCTCGTTTCTCACAGAGAGAGCAGAGGACTTATGTGGACCTCTTGGTTAAATACTCAAAAATTCCTGCTAATTCCAAAGCTGTTGGAATAAATAAAAATGACTACCTGCAGTATTTGGTATGTATTCCATTCTTCAGCTTCACTAAAAAACATACTTAAAAGTTAGGAAACACTTTAAATTTGCTTCTGAGTTTTACAAAGGGGTGAGTGGAGCGGAGGAGAGTGGTGGAGGGGAAATGGAGACAACTGTACTTGAACAACAATAGAAAATTTAAAACTAAACAAAAATGGAAAATGTAAGGAGATTAATTGATGGACAAAATGGTGCTTTAAGTCTCTTATTGGTTCTGGGACATTTCAGGCCTGTTGCTCTTGTTCTGAGCATAGTTCTCTCCAGTTCATCTTAAGTACTAGTAGTAGAGCTTTGCATGGGTCCATGAACCAAGTCAGAATTTTTGTTTATGGTTTTAATTAAGTAGTTTCCAAATTTTCAACTATGTAAATGATGCTGTACTGACATCATCGTTGTAAACTCTGCTTATATCAATGATTGTTTCCTTAAGATAAAATTTTTTAAATAAACCTGCCACATAAAGAGCTACACATGTCTTTAAGGCTTTGATATGCATTTACCCATGAGTAAATTGCTCTACAAAAAGTTTAAACCAATTTCTTTTTATCACTATTGTATGAAAGGGGTTTTTTTTTGTTGTTTTGGTTTGATTTTTAATAATCTTCACTAATACTGGACGTTACCTTTGTTTTCCTCTTAATTCAATAGGGTGAAAAGGTGATCCCTTGTTTTACATTATTTACAGTGATTGCTAATAAAATAAGTATTTCTCGTGTGTTTATAAGCCATTTCTGTTTCTTTTGTAATTAACCCATTCATTTTGTTTGCTTATTTTTCCATTTGGGGGTGCTTTTTATTGTTATTAATTAAGAACATTTTATAAAATAAGCTTACTAATCCCAAAGTGTATATTATAGTGTTAGTCATTTTCTTTTCTTTTTTTGAGGAGTTTTTAGTAACAAGTATATCATTATTTTATCATTTTAATTAGCCTTTTCTTTGTGATTTTTGTTTTGGATGTGATACTTTTAATTATTGTATAATTCCAGATTATTACAGCAGTGATTGAGGTGATTGTTTTTAACCAAGCTGCTTATTCTACATGTATACTTTTTTTAAAAATTAGGATATGAAAAAACACGTGAATGAAGAAGTCACTGAATTCTTAAAGTTTTTACAGAATTCTGCAAAGAAATGTGCACAGGATTATAATATGCTTTCTGATGATGCACGTCTCTTCACAGAGGTAAAAAAAAACAAACTAATATTTACTTAAACTTTTCTGAGTAATAGGCAATAGCAGAATTTTAAAGTATGTGATGATCCTGTCAAATGCATATGGAAGTGTCAGTATTACCAATTTAGAGACCAAATAAATAGTTTTTTATGATGTATATGAATAATAGAAATACTGTGCTAATTGTCAAAATCATGTACTATAATATATTCTTTTTCCTTTTACTGATCCATCTACTATATTTGAGAGTTAGTCTTTTACTCACATGGATGCTTTGATCTGAGGCAATGATTTCCCTTAGGAGATAATGGGTATTTAAGGAGTTAACTTAGTCATTAAAAATCTTAAATGGTCCTTTAAAACTTAATCACACGAATTTTTATTTATTATTTTATGGTAACCAACTACCAAGTGATAATTTTCAACTGTGAATGCATTTTTTATATAAATAATACATGCAAACTTATTGGCAAAGCATGTTAAGTCACTCTGCCTTGTACCATACTATCATTCAGTGGGCCTGGGAGAAATTTAGAGTAACCTACTTAAGTAATTACTATTAATATATGCAGTTGACCTTTAACACAGCACAAAGGTTAGCTTTTGCAACCTACCCTCCTCCCAGGGTTGCAAAAACACAGTCAAAAATTTGTCTGTAACTTTTAACTCTCCAGAAACTTAACTATTAATAGCCTACTGTTGACCCAGTAGCCTTACTAATAACATAAATAGTTGATTATACATTTTGTATGTTACATGTATCATAAACTGTATTCTTGTAATAAAGTAACCTAGAGAAAAGAAAATGTTATTAAGAAATTCATACGGAAAAGAAAATATATTTACAGAATTTATTGAGAAAAATTCGCATATAAGTAGATCAGCGCAGTTCAAATCCATGTTGTTCAAGGGTCCACTATATTATATGTAGAGTTCATCTACACACACCAACACCAGTCTGGATTTTTCCTTTAGGCCTTTAAAACTGGTCACTGTACACAACAGTGTGATACACCTAACACTGTTGTGCTCTACACTTAAAAATGGTTAGGATGAGTTGCAGCCAAGATGGAGGCATAGGTAGAAACCCTTTGTTCTTCGCACAACCAAAAGGAGGATAACAACCAATCTAAAATCAATAAACAAGAAAAAACGCCAGAAAATCAAACTGCATGGAACTCTAATGACCAAGGAATTAAAACAAAAAAGTCAGCCAGGACAACCAGACCGGCAGCCCTGAAGTGCAGCAAAGAGGGTCGCCCTGCCCTGGTGAATAACTAAGGCCCCACCCCCTTACAACCTATCAGGTGCACCAAGACAAAGAAATATGGCTCAAACGAAAGAACACAGCAAAACCTCAGAACAAAGCAATGAGATTGCTAGCCTATCTGATGGAGAATTTAAAGCCCTGGTAATTAAAATGCTCACAGAACTGATGGAGCTTGGTTGAAAAATGAAAGATACCCAAAATGATATAAAATAAAATATTCAGGGAACCAACAGTGAAAAGAGGGAAATCAGGATTCAAAGGAAAGATTTGGAACAAAAGGAAGAAATAAACATCCAACCTGATCAGAATAAGAAACAAGAATCTGAAAAAGTGAAGAGAGACTGAGGATTCTCTGGGACAACCTGAAACATTTCAATATCTGAGTTGTAGGGGTGCCAGAAGGAGCAAAATAACAGCAAGAAATTGAAGACTTAATTTGAACAAATAATGAAGGAAAATTTCCCCAATCTGGCAAAGGAAATAGACTTCCAGGAAGTCCAGGAAGCCCAGAGAGCCCCAAAGAAGTTGGATCCAAAGAGGAACACATCAAGGCACATCATCATTAAGTTACCCAAGATTAAAGACAAACAGAAGATCCTAAAAGCAGCAAGAGTAAAGGAGACAGTTACCTACAAAGGAGTTTCCATAAGGCTATCAGCTGATTTCTCAAAAGAAACCTTGCAGGCAAGAAAGGGCTGGAAAGAAGTATTTGAAGTCATGAAAAGCAAGGATCTACATGAAGTCATAAAAGGGGAGATTACACTATCCAGCAAAGCTATCATTTAGAATGGAAGGGCAGATAAAGTGCTTCGTAGATAAGGTCAATTTCAAGGAGTTCATCATCACCAAGCCCTTACTATATGAAATGTTAAAGGGACTTATCTAAGAAAAAGAAGATAAAAAATATGAACAATAAAAATGACAAAAAAAATCAACTATCAACAAATGAACCTAAAAGAAAAACAACAAAAACCAAAACTAAGCAAACAGCCAAAACAGGAACAGAATCAGAGAAATGGATATCACATGGAGTTCACTGGGGAGGGGGAAGGGAGGAATAGGGGGGAAAGGTACAGGGAATAAGAAGCATAATTAGTAGGCATAAAATAGACCGGGAGAGATAAAAATGGTATAGGAAACAGGACTCAAAGAACTTACATGTACAACCCATGGACAGAAACTAAGGGGGAGTGATGCTGGAGGGTTGGAGGTGTTGGTTAGAGGGGGGATAAAGGAGGAAATTGGGAAAACTATAATAGCATAACCAATAAAAATACCTTAAAATGGTTAAGATGTTAAGGTTTATGTATATTTTATTATAATTTTTTTAGGTTTTTATTTATTTATTTTAGAGAGAGAGGGAGAGAAATATCAACATTTGGTTGCCTCTTGCATGCCCCCCAAATGGGGACCTAGCCCACAACCCAGGCATGTGCCCTGACTGGGAGCTGAATGGGTGACCCTTTGGTTCACAGGCCAATACCCAATCCTCTGAGCCACACCAGCCAGGGCTTATTAATATTTTTTAAAAATTACTTCACTGGATTTTTAAAAACACTTTTTAAGATGAAATTTTGTTGTTAATATGAACCAGAAGAATGATTCTGCTAAATAAAAAAGAATTCCACTTTTATTTTCTGTGAACCTAAATGTGATGTACTCGAACAGTCTCATGTTTTTTCCATGTGGAAGAGGAGCTATAGCTATTACTATTTTAATAATGCTTTTGAAATGATCAGAGTGATAGCTTTAGCATATAAATTATATCTCCTCATTTCACTGGTTTAAAATGTCTTCTTATCTCATCAGGAAGAGACAGTCTGCAGAGATCAGCCCCCCCACCCCCAGCCTGCTTGTCTTCTACCCGCCTTACTCCAGGTTGTCCCAGGTCAGCCTCTGGCCTCTTTGTTTCTTGAATACTCCGAAGGACCTTTGTCTGTTTCCAACTTTCTGACAAGCTGTTCCCCAGATACCTGCACGGATTAGTATCTTGATTCCTTCAGGTCTCTCTCTGTTCAGGTGCCAACTATCAATAAAGGATGTTCCTAATTATCCTCTAAAAAATAACATCACCCTTAGTGTTTTCTTTACGGTGTTTTATTTTTGTTTATTATCCTTCTTCACAGTGCCTATAAGGAAGTACTCTTGTGCACTGCTGTCTTCCCAATGACTGGAATAATGCCTGACATCTAATGAGTGCTCAGGTGTTCTAATTATTTAAGTGAATATAAAAATGTTTATTAACAGAGTACCTTGTTTGGTAGCTAACAATCAGCATTATGTCTTGTTTTTTTAATTTTTAAAAATATATTTTATTGATTATGCTATTACAGTTGTCCCATTTCCCCCGCTTTATTCCCCTCTACCCTGCACCCCACTTCCCATCATTCCCCCCACCCTTATAGTTCATGTGTATGGGTCGTACATATAAGTTCTTTGGCTTCTCCATTTCCTGTAGTATTCTTAACCTTTCCTGTCTATTGTGTACCTACCATTTATGCTACTTATTCCCTATACCTTTTCCCCCATTCCCCTCCATCCCCTCCCCTCCCCTCCGATAACCTTGCATATGATCTCCATTTCTGTGATTCTGTTCCTGTTCTACTTGTTTGCTTAGTTTGTTTTTGTTTTTTGTTAGGTTCGATTGTTGATAGTTGTGTTTGTTGTCATTTTACTGTTCATAGTTTTGATCATCTTCTTTTTCTTAGATAAGTCCCTTTAACATTTCATATAATAAGGGCTGGATGATGATGAACTCCTTTTACTTATTCTTATCTGGGAAATAAAAATTATCTGCCCTTCCATTCTAAATGAAAGCTTTGCTGCCCTTCCATTCTAAATGAAAGCTTTGCTGGATAAAGTAATCTTGGATGTAGGTCCTTGCCTTTTATGACTTTGAGTACATACTTCTTTCCAGCCCCTCCTTGCCTGCAAGGTTTCTTTTGAGAAATCACCTGATACCTTATGGGAACCCCTCTGTGTGGGGGCAACTTTGCTCGCAAGTCCCCCCGTCTGCCATGGATGAAAGTGAAACTACCAAGACATGATCTGCTTGGGGAGGAGAAGTGGTCATTCTCTCAGAGGAGAAAGACCAAGGGCCTCTTTCTCAATGGCTTTTATTGGGTTGTAATACACAGGAATACAGGCAGCAAGGATCAAACAGTAGATAACATTTCAAAGAAATCTGAGAGCTTAGTCTGAGTCAGAGTCTGTCGGGAAGGGGGTTGCAAAAACTTTGGCAGACACACTCATTTCCTGCTTGGACCCTTATCATATGAATGAAAGCACTCTTAGCAAAGCAGGCTTCACAGGACTTTAGGAATTCTTTCTTATGCCCGATCTCCCCGGATCCCACTCTAGCCGGTAAAGGACTGCACCGCCTTTCCCATCATAGGTTTTCAGGCTTAAGTGGATTAGAGCCAGGAAGCGCTTCTCCCAGACGGAAATGGGGACTTGGGCTATGTCAGAATAGCAGTGGGGGTGGGGGCAAGGGTCCATCACTCCCTCTTTGTTGCAGCTCCCGGAGTCCTTCCTTGATGGCCTCCCAAGTGATCGTGTCTGGCTTAGGTTGCCCCCCTTCTGAGGGGTCTTACCCATCTCTGACTAACCGACCAAGTGTTGGGGGCAGGGGGATGAAGCAGAAGCAGCACTGCTGCCAGAGACAAGCTTTGTCTCCTTAGTGGCTCACAGTCCAGAGGTCGCTTACTCAGCCTTAGCCATGGGGGGCCAGTTACAACTC